AGCCTGGGGGTGCTACGCCTGGAGGTGCTGAGCCTGGGGGTGCGGAGCCTGAGGGAGCTGGGCCTGCTCGTGTGGCGTCTGGCGGTGCTGAGCCTGGAGGTTCTCCGGGTGCTTCGTCTCGGCGGGAGCCACTCTCTCCACAGGAGCTGCGCGAGTGGTTTGCCCGGCGCTGGAGGCGTGCTGCTGGAGCTGGAGGTTCTTCGGCTGCTGAGGGTGCTGGTGCCGCGGGTCCCGGAGGTGCTCGTACTGGGAGTACTGGAGCTGCTAGGCCTGCGGGTACGACTGGAGCTGGAGCTGCTGAGGGTGTTGGCGCTGAGGCTACTGCTGTCGGTCCTGGAGGCGGTCCTACTGGGGGTGCTACTGGTGCTGCTGGAGGTACTGGAGCTGGAGGTGCTGCTGGCGCTGGTGCTGCCGCTGGGGGTACTGGTGCTGTCCCTGCTGTGTCTGGAGTCGCCGCGCGGCCTCGGCCGTACTTCGTTCCGCTCCTTCAGCAGGTTCTTGGTCTCCCGCCTTCTACTGGTCCTCCTCCTCCCTTAGAGTGTCCACAGCCTGTCCCGTCACAGTTACAGTTACAGCCGGCCTCCCCACTGCCCGCTCCTTCTCCCTACACTGGTACTACTGGAGGTCTTACTGAGCGTCGTGAGCCTGCGTCTCGCCCTGCGTCGCCTGTCCGTGCTGCTCGCACTAGTGGTCGTGGTTCGCGTCAGCGTCCTCCTCCTGTCCCTGGCACGCACCGGATGTCTCTGCGTCCGTCCACTGCTCCTCTGCGTGCCCCTTTGCCTTCTCCTCCTGAGTCCTCTCTTCCTGCTCTTCCTGACCCGGAGTCGGACTCCCTTCGTGCTGCCAGTCCGACTGTCACGCGTCTCCTTGCTACTGTTGTCACTGACCCTTCCTTTGAGTCCACTTCTGCGTCTGCCCTAGTTGCTGAGCTCGTCGACTTTGCTGCTCGCTGTCGTCTAGACTACGCTGCTAGTCTTGTTGCTGAGTCTGAGTCTGTCTGTCCTCCGTCCGTCGGGGGTGAGTGTGCCCTTGGCACGGACGTCCTTGAGGACAGGCAGGAGGAGTTCCAGTGTCTGGCTGCTGCTTCACCTCATCTCGTGTCCGTACTGCTTACCCCTGAGGGAGACCCGGATGCACTTGACATCCCGACTCCGCGCTCTTACGCGGAGGCGATAGAGGGTCCCTACTCCTCTCAGTGGCAGGCAGCTATGGACGCAGAGATGGCTTCCTGGAAGTCCACAGGCACCTACGTTGACGAGGTTCCCCCACCTGGGGCGAACATCGTCAGTGGCATGTGGATTTTCAGGGTGAAGCGGCCGCCGGGTTCTCCGCCTGTCTTCAAGGCGCGTTACGTGGCTCGTGGCTTCAGTCAGCGGCAGGGAGTTGACTACTTTCAGACCTTTTCTCCCACCCCGAAGATGACCACTCTTCGGGTACTGCTGCACATAGCTGCTCACCGCGACTACGAGCTGCACTCTCTTGACTTCAGCACTGCTTTCTTGCAGGGCAGCCTGCACGAGGAGATCTGGCTGCGTCGCCCACCTGGCTTCACTGGGTCCTTTCCTCCTGGCACCCAGTGGAGCCTCCGGCGGCCAGTCTACGGTCTCCGCCAGGCACCGCGTGAGTGGCACGACACACTGAGGACTACACTTGCGGCTCTTGGGTTTGCTCCCTCTACTGCCGAGTCGTCGCTGTTTCTGCGCACCGACACTTCTTTGCCGCCGTTCTACATCCTCGTGTACGTCGACGACTTGGTCTTCGCCACAGCTGACACTGCTGGACTCGCCCACGTGAAGTCCGAGCTGCAGAAGAGACACACGTGCACAGACCTGGGTGAACTGCGCAGCTACCTTGGCTTGCAGATCACCCGGGACAGAGCACGCCGCACCATTACCCTGACTCAGTACACATGGTGCAGCAGGTCCTTCAGCGCTTCGGCTTCACGTACTCCTCGCCTCAGGCCACTCCTCTGCCTACTCGCCACTCGCTCTCAGCTCTGCCTTCGGATGAGTCCGTAGAGTCGAGTGGCCCGTACCCAGAGCTTGTTGGCTGCCTCATGTACCTGATGACCTGCACTCGACCTGACCTTGCATACCCTCTTAGCATTCTCGCACGCTATGTTGCTCCTGGGAGACACAGACCGGAGCACATGGCTGCAGCGAAGAGGGTGTTGCGCTACTTGTGCAGTACGTCGGGCATGGGACTTGTGCTTGGAGGGCAGAGTCCAGTGGTCCTCACTGGGCACGCAGACGCTTCTTGGGCTGACGACCAGGCTACGCAGCGGTCGTCACAGGGTTACACCTTCAGCCTTGGTTCCGGCTCTGTTTCGTGGCGGGCTACCCGCTCGTCTTCTGTTCTCGGCTCCAGTTGTGAGGCTGAGATCTACGCCGGGGCCATGGCTGCACAGGAGCTTCGCTGGCTCACCTACCTGCTCACTGACCTCGGAGAGCCGCCTCGTTCTCCTCCAGTGCTGTACGTAGACAACAAGGCCATGCTGGCCTTGTGTCGAGAGCAGAGACTGGAGCACAGAACGAAGCACATTGCTCTCCGCTACTTCCTTGCTCGTGAGCTACAGCAGCGTGGTCAGCTACGGCTTGCGTACGTGGCCTCTGAGGCCAATACTGCTGATATCTTCACCAAGGCACTTCCGCCTTGTGATCATCAGCGCTTCTGTACTCAGCTGGGTCTTGTGCCTACCTTGCCTCACTTGCTCACCCCTTGACCTTGCTTGTACTGTTGCATATATATATACACCTGCTCTTGCTTGTCTAGCCTTATATATATATGCAATCCTGTATGTGAACTGGCCTTGTGGCCTTGAACTTGTGCTCGGAATGTGTGGTGACTTTGTGATCCACCCTGAGCTTGTTTTGCTTTGCTTGACTGGTCTTGTGACCCCTTGTTCTCCCCCACTTTGCCTATGGGGGTGTGTCAGATTTATATGACATAGCTACTGTAGGCTATAGTGGGGTAGCACATATGGGGTACAGTTTTCTAGGGTTTGCTTTTGTACCCAACTTTCCTTTAGTCATTTCATTCCTTGTTTCTTCTCAAGTTTGGCGGAGTTGCCGTATCCCCGATAAGACCAAATGTTCTGCTGCTGGTTCGGTGTGACGTTGCGCAGTAGAATTGTGTATGCCATCATGGACTGATATGTGTACTGCTGCTTGTCGTATTGTGTCCCGTGCGTTGGATATGGCACGGACCCGTCAAAGAAGCCAAGAATCTGCGCGCCTTCCATCATCAACTCGAATTCGAACGACCAGGTAAAGAAGTCATTTCCGTCGAACGGTCTTGATGTCTGCAGTTTTAAGACGTGCGCAAACTGCGACTCAACTTGAAGTGCATCTAATGTCTTTTCTTGCTCAGGTGAAGGCTGCTGGCGCGGCATGAAGCTGACGGAACCACGCTGGGGTTCGTACGGAGCGAAGGTAGGTTGTTGTTGCTGATTTCCTCGCGCGTAGGATGAACCGTCGAGGCTCATCGGCATCACATCGTTGTTATTGTTGCTGTTGTTTGACTCCGCATGTGCCCCTTGCTGGTGTTGTTCGTAGAAGGACATGAAGGAGAAGAATTTCTCCATCATGCTTGGGTCGAAGCCCGCAGCTTGATTTGCGGGAGTTTCGGTGGACCCAGCTGCTGGTCTTGTTGCTGTGCCCTCCTCTGTCTGTAGGCCAGAGGCAGGAGGTGGAGTAGGAGTAGTACCGGGAGAGCCGTTAGAGGAGCTTCTCTCCTTCTGTGTTGCCATGCCTTCTGATGTTGTAGGTGTCTTGATAGTAGTTGAGTTTGCCTTGATAGCTCTCATTTCATACCATGTTGGGCTGAGAAGTAGCCCTTAGGATCTTTGCAGGACTAAACTTTGAGTAGGAATAATGTAATTGCGGAAGCGTTTAATGAAGAGTCTGTGAACCACCTTGCGCTGGTATGTGAGGGCGAAGTAGATTGATTAAAGTAAGAAGATACAGGGTTTTCATAAGAGTACAAGGAATATGAAGAGACACAGTTAATAACTGTTTTACTGTTGCTCTTGCGGTTCGATACAGTGACGACTCGGGCAACTGCTCAGTAACGAGTCAGCTGTTTGTCCTTGCTGTCGCGCTGTACTTGTCAGGTCAAAGGTCGCTGACCTTTGACTTTCGCGTAACCTCCAGCAGTTGCTCAACCTCCGAGGGTTGACTTGCCGATGCTTCGCTGTGTTTTAGTTCGTTTACGACTTAGTGCTTCGACACGACAGAGGCGCTTAAGTTACTTGTTTCCAACAGGGGATGCAATGCCTGCCTGCCTGGCTGCCTTTGGCTACGATTAATTCAATATTGGAAAAATACTCTAATGTGATTGGTACCTGTTTATTGAAACAAATTACTTATCACCTAAAATATCAAAGCAATGGTGACAAGATCATCTGAGGGTACATTCCTGCGGGGACACTTGTGTCTCAATCCCCGATTTCCCGAGTCGCGCCTGTAAATTTGCCAAATGTTGTGTCACAAACAACCAATGTATCGCGACTCTAGGCGACCAGGCGAGATGTACAGTTGTGCGCATTTGTTAGGGTGACACAAATGACTGTACATCCCTTTTTTCAACCGCTTGGCTGGGGTGTGGTTTCGACGAGCGGGATTTTTTCCCGCACGAAATTGGCATTGCAGGCTGTCCAGGTGCATTGACATTTCGAGCAGCGTGCGAATTTTTCACATTGACGAGTCAGATTACAATTCGTCAGCGACGTCAGCGCGTTTCACGCTGACCAATAAAAAATACAGTAATGGTCGCGGAAATGCGACTCGCAATTGGGACACTCTACAGTTTATGCTGTTTTTGTGTGTCACAAAGCGATTGAGACATTTGTGTCTCCACAGGAATGTACCCTGATGTTACCTATGTATACATGGTACAATATAGGTACGGATACATTCATCACACCATAAAGCTGGCAAGCTGGATCTGAATACTTGCACCTTGTGAACATCTCGTCTCAGTGTGATGACCTGAAGTGATCATTACCGCTTGCCCTCCTGGCCTCTGAGGTCGTGTCGTGTGTAACCACAACTCACCACTAGAGTCCAGCACATCCCGCCCGCACTTCCACGCCTTTGGGGGACAATCATCGTCCAGCTTGACACGCATGGTGCTGCCTGCGCACACACGCACGTGGCACATCGCAATACAGCCATTCCAATCAGCACACGCGGATTGATTCTGCCGGGAACGAGTCGCGACGGGTCACGGCAGAGCCTGGCGACTGGACTGGGGTAAGGAAGAGGTGCGGGAGGGGGAAGGAGAAGGAGAACAGGAAATGGGAAGGGGATACGGGTAAAGGGAGGGGGTAAGGGGAGGAAGAGTGGGTAAGGGGTAAGGGGAATCAGGGGAGGGGGACGGGAAGAGGGTAACGGAAGCGGAAGCGGGTAAGGGAAGGGAAGGGGTTAAGGTGAGGGAGAGGGGGTAAGGGGAGGGAGAGGTGCAGGAATAAAGGGAGGGGTACGCGGAAGGGAGATAGGTAAAGACACTGGAGTGGGTAAGTGAAAGCGGAATGCGTACGGGTAAAGCGAGGGGGTAAGGGGAGGGTTCGAGATGGTCCTGAGATGGTGCTTTGGCGAGCAGTGTGGCTGTGCGCATGCGTGCGTGCGCAAGGTCATGGAAACAGCAAGAGGGAGAGGAGCGGAGCTGGAGAGGTCAGGGATGAGGGGAGGGGAGAGAAGTAAGACCCGGGCATGGGTGGGTGGGTGGGTGGGAAGGAAGTTTTGCAGGTCGTTCATCTCGGAGCCCCATGGCATCCTCAATAGCCTCCGCCGGCCCCATCAGCACCTTCCCCCATCAGCGGCCCCTCACAGTGCGTTCAAGTTACTCTCACATACATCCCCGCCCCACAACGGCTGCTCATAGCCTCTCACACACATCACCTTCATCCCCCCTTCATCAGTTGGAATTTGGCGTTGAAACTGCGGATTCCCATTCACCGAGGTCCCAACCGCAGCAAGATGGATGGCGACCCGGAAGCAGCAGCGCCGACTCAAGGCAGCGTGGAGGACGAGAAGGCGAAAGAGGGGGACTGAGGCGTGTGAGAGTAAATCGGAATTCGGAATTCGGGATTCGGGAGCGACTTTGCCGCTGCCTGCGAGAAGCGAGATTCCGTGCGCGATCTGTCGCATCGGTGCGCGCGGAAAAGCGCCTCAATGTTCTCGACATCGGTTCACGCTGAGTATCGCTCTGGCGGTTTCCGTGGCGCTACTACTAGGGGTGGAGTACCTGGTCTGGTCGAGTGACAGAAGCCGAAGATGACAATGACTCATTACCTTCGACGATGATAAGCACTGTCGCCTCCGTATCACTCTCCCTTATGGTCTACGTGTAAAGAAACCCGTGTCGCGTGCGAACGTTTTCGATACTGTTCTGAAGTATGTCGCATGGACGAGTCGCTTTTGTTTACTCACGAAGAATGCTCGAGCTGTTTGGATTTGGTGGGAATCGTCAAAGTTCGTATTCTTGTAACCAATGCCTTGTGAGGTCTCGTGTAAGTCCTACTTTACCTTGCAACCAGACCCAACCAATACTCGCCTTGGAAGGAATTTGCTTCACCGGTTGGCTTCGAGAAATCTGCTGGAAGGAATTTGCTTCGAGCTACCACTGGAAGCGAATTCCTTCCACCTCGCTCTGGATTCGAGAAATCTGCTGGAGTAACGGTTGAGAACGATGTTGAGCACTATGGTACGGTTTTCTTGCTTCACCGCTTTAAACCAGTACACACCAAGTTGAACGGTGAAACATGGAAGTATACTGTAAACGAACAGCAAGAAACTTGAATGCCTTGCCCAGAAGCGAAGGCCTGCAAGCACAGAACCCTACCATTCGGAAGGGCAGGGCTTGTGAGCCTCTCTAGTCGACCTAGATCTGCATGAAGCAGGAGTTGATCCTGCAGTCAAAGTCGATAGTAGTGCTCCATAAATACCTGCGATCTAATTTAGGACACAGTCGCTTTTCTGATGCTCCAGGTGTTCGCTGCAAACCGTAGCATCGTTGGCTTACCAAGTTGTCGTTAGGCAGGAGGTGGTCAATCGTTTCGGGGGTTGATACTTTGAGGTGTAATTTGTTGGCTCGATTTCGTAACACACGTAGATCTTCGCCTCAGTTTCCGATTGTTATTTTCTTCACGGGTGACATGGAGTCTCGTAGAACCCACATTCACCATCTTTCTGACGACATCTTGGTCCGCATCTTCTGGCCCTCGAAACAATCAGAATCCCCCGCATCCGAGAGCGATGACCTTTGGAATGCCTTCAATTCAAGCCCAAGTACATTTAGAATGTGGGAAACAGACAATCCGATGCCGACCCCTCCAGCCTCCGCAGATGCTGCTCATAACCTCCTCATCGCGTCGATCTGCCGTCGCTGGCGGCGTCTCGCTCAGAGCCATGTCTCATCGCTCCTCGTCAAGGAGGATCTCGTCGTTTCTCGTCAGGATCTCCTCAACGCCGTCGCCTGCTTTCCTAAACTGACCCATCTGCATCTGTTGGATCGAAGTGCTGAAGCTCTGGACAACACTTTTCTTGTCGATCTCGCCGCTTCTTGCCCTGGCCTGAGAGCGCTGCACGTTGGGGATCTGATGATATTTGCGAGCAAGGAAAGACATGCAAGGAGGGCCACCCGTCTAATAGACGGATCTGGCTTGGAGCATCTCGCCCGTCACTGCCGTCAATTGGAGCAGATGTCGCTGTATTGGCTCGAGGACTGTGTCGATCCACCAGCTTCTCTCTTTCAGCTCCCGTTGCGCATCCTCGTCTTGAAGAATCAAGCTTCCATCGCAACCTCCCCAAAGCTCAGCTCACTTCTCTCTCTCGCTGCACTCTCCTTCCATACCTTTAGCCTTTCTAGTTACAAGCTTTCCAGCATCCTTCACCTCACCAACCTCACCTGTCTCTATCTGCCTAATATTGGCCTTTCGCCCGGAGATACAACTGCCGTCTCACTCGCACAGCTACCTTTTCTCCAGTCACTGAAACTCGAGCTGCAGTCCGAGTTTAGCGATTTCTTTTCTCCCAATCTTCAATTCAGGACCTTGAAACGGTTGCAGCTTGCTCACTGCTATAGCCAAACCCAGCTTCCAGACAGTATAGGAGAGGCACTGCCATGCCTCCAAGAGCTCAGCATCAGTTACTGCAAAAGCTTAAGCGATTTAACCGACCAGTTCACCTCCCTCACCTGCCTGGAGAGGTTGATCATTTCCTCATGCGACGACGTGTCCTTGCTGCCCGATAACTTTGGGGATCTCCCAGCCTTGAAGACTTTAGTGCTGCACGAGCTGCCCCTTCTCCGTCTCCCTGCGTCCTTCACCAGACTCGCATCTCTGGAGACGCTTTTTCTGGTGTGCGAGGGGATGGGCGAGCTGCCTGGAGGGGGTCTGACCAGCCTGCAAACTCTCTGTCTCAGCCATGGCAGCCAAGACAAGCTTCCGTCGTCATTCACGCAGCGGACTTCACTGACCAGGTTGCAGCTGGATCGGTGCGGGGTTGTTGAGCTTCCAGCCGGCATGGTGGGGATGACAAACCTGCAAGAGCTCTGCATTCGGGAGTGCTGGCCTTTCAAGAAGCTTTCGGAATTTGTGACGGCGCTCGTCAGCCTTCAAATGCTGAGGATTGAAGGGTGTGACAATCTCTTGTCGGTTCCCATGAGGCTGGACAGTCTTACCAGGCTGAAGCAGTTGGAATTGAGGAGATGTGAGCAACTGAAGGAAGTCCCTCAGGCTCTGCCACTCAGCCTCCAGGCGCTATCCTATGACGGCAACCAGCAGCTGGTGTCTTGGCCAGGCGTATCAACACTCACACAGCTGAGGAAGCTGTGCTTGGGCACTGTGGGTGCAACCTGTCTTGAGGCCATCAGCAGACGCCTAAATGGTCTGGAGCACCTAGAGCTCACGTTGGGAGATGATGCCGAGGAGTCTCTGTCCGCGTTGGCAAGGCTCTCTCGCCTCCGCACCTTGACACTCGACGGGGCTCGTAGCATAAATAAGCTGGTGGGGTCTGAGGGCTTGACATTGCAGGAGCTACGGCAGCTGAACATCCACACTTGGCGTGATGAACTCACAGAGCTGCCTGCAGCCATCACCACTCTCCACCGCCTCACATCCATTCGAGTAGAAGCGCACAACTTATCTTCTCTTCCGGACGCCATTGGGGCATTGTCAAGATTGCGCAGGCTGGACTTATCCGACTGCTCATCCCTCACGCATCTCCCTGATTCCCTCACGCAGCTCTCCTGCCTGCATGAGCTGGATCTCAGCTGCACCGGCATCTGGCTGCTTCCTCCTGGCTTTACTCAGCTTAGCAGACTAAGGAATGTCAAGCTTGGTAACTGCAGGCACCTCCAGGCTCTGCCTGACGACACGAAATCTTCCAATGCTCGATTTTCTCGATACTACTGGTTGTTACATGCTCCAGCACTGAAGGTGCCTTTTACCACTCATACATTTTGATCCTTAGCTAGTGTACCTGTATGCCAGCATACTCAGGCTCCACTACGATGTAGCATTTTTCTGTGATATAAATTATAATTCGATTCACTTGCAGATTTTGCATACAAAAAGGACTATCTGTACTTGAGTCAGTGACCTTCCTTTCCTGCCTTAATAGGTAGCGTGGTCATTTACTATGTGGAGTGTGTACGTTATATCCCACGTATTGTTGCTGCTTGTGTTCTTCTCCTTTCCCCTCCCTTCCTCGTCCTTCCATCGCATCCTTCTCGCTCTCACTCTCAGCTAATGTGCCATAGGCATCCTTCTCGCAATCTCTCTCAGCTAATGTGCCTTGTTATGGACAGTGTAATCGTGTGCTTATGCTTGTGTCCCTTGATGCCCTGCTTTCATACCCCTTCCCCTCCCATGCGCATCCTTCCTTCCCGCCCTCCCCTCTCTCTTAGCCAGCTCATGGTCGTTGGCATTGGCAGCGTGTTGGTGGGCAGGCCACTTGGAACGACCTGCCACACACTGAGGCACGCAGAGTAGCTGAGGCGAGCCGAGGAGGCAGCAGAGACGGCAAGCAAGCAACGCCATAAGCATCAGTTCTGGGACATACCATGTGCAACCCCATGCATGGTGAGCTGGGTGGGTGGGTGGATGGTTGGGGGTGATGCGTGAATGTGCATGGACAAGGCATGATGTGGTGTGTGCATGCTGTGTGCATGTTGTGAACATGGTGTGTGCATGGTACGGTTTTTGCACGGCGTTTGTGGCATATTGCGCCAGTGCATGGTTGACTGGGAGGTGCATGGTTGACTGGAAGGTGCATGGTTGACTGGAAGGTGCATGGTTGACTGGAAGGTGCATGGTTGACTGGGAGGTGCATGGTTGACTGGGAGGTGCATGGTTGACCGGAAGGTGCATGGTTGACTGGGAGGTGCATGGTTGACTGGGAGGTGCATGGTTGACTGGGAGGTGCATGGTTGACTGGGAGCATGGTTGACTGGGAGGTGCATGGTTGACTGGGAGGTGCATGGTTGACTGGGAGGTGCATGGTTGACTGGGAGGTGCATGGTTGACTGGGAGGTGCATGGTTGACTGGGAGGTGCATGGTTGACTGGGAGGTGCATGGTTGACTGGGAGGTGCATGGTTGACTGGGAGGTGCATGGTTGACTGGGAGGTGCATGGTTGACTGGGAGGTGCATGGTTGACTGGGAGGTGCATGGTTGACTGGGAGGTGCATGGTTGACTGGGAGGTGCATGGTTGACTGGGAGGTGCATGGTTGACTGGGAGGTGCATGGTTGACTGGGAGGTGCATGGTTGACTGGGAGGTGCATGGTTGACTGGGAGGTACCTTCCTTTATCTTCTTACACCAGACCAGCTCTCATATTTATGTCCTCTTCTCCCATTTCGCCGTTCTTGCCCCCCTCCCCTTCCCTCCCTTTCCCCTCTCCTTCCCTTCTCCTTCCCCTCCCTTTCTCGCTCCCCTTGCCCTCCCCTCTCCCTCCCATGGGTCTCATCTCATCTCGTGGGTCTCACCTCATCTCAGGGCTCTCGTCTCATGGCTCTCAGCTCAAGGACTCACGGGTAGCATGATACCGAGGCTGTGTACCGGATAAGGGGGAAATGGGAGGAGGTGAAGCAGTTGTCAGCAGGCGAGGGGACAAGATTACAGGTGGTACCAGCAGGTGAGACACGAGAAGGGTGGAAAGTGTTCCTCACACGAAGGGTTGATCAAGGAAAAAACTTTCCAGCTACGGGCAGTTGGGAGAGGAGCGAACGGTGCAGCTATTGAAAACAGGAGTGTGGTGGGAGGAGAGGAGGAGGGAAATGAAGGTGTGCTAGTCTTCACGTAGAGGCCTGTGAGGGCTGTGCGGTACCTGAAGGTGAGATGCCCACAGGTGAAACCCCAATCCTCAAATATTGTCCACTCCTCTCATACCCCCCGCTCATGTGAATCCGAGTAGTTGCTGTGTCGCCTGGTCCTGCCTTCTGCCTCTGCATTCTTGTTTTCCGCCCTTGAACTATTGCTTTCCGCCCTTTCACTCCAGCTTTCCAACCTTGCATTCCTGCTTTCAGCCCTTGTGTTCCTGATAACAAGCCTCGCCTCGGTGCCTCCAACTCCCACAGTCTTGTCTGCTCCTTCGTTCCTCATTTTGCTCCTTCATTTCATCCAACCCATGCCTTTTCAACCCACTCAGGCCTTTTCATCCCACCCATGCCTTTTCATCCCACCTATGCCTTTTCATCCCACCTATGCCTTTTCATCCCACCTATGCCTTTTCATCCCACCCATGCCTTTTCATCCCACCCATGCCTTTTCATCCCACCCATTCCTTTTCATCCCACCCATGCCTTTTCATCTCACCTATGCCTTTTCATCCCACCCATGCCTTTTCATCTCACCCATGCCTTTTCATCCCACCTATGCCTTTTCATCCCACCTATGCCTTTTCATCCCACCCATGCCTTTTCATCCCACCCATGCCCTTTCATCCCACCCATGCCTTTTCATCCCACCCATGCCTTTTCATCCCACCTATGCTTTTTCATCCCACCTATGCCTTTTCATCCCACCCATGCCTTTTCATCCCACCTATGCCTTTTCATCCCACCCATGCCTTTTCATCCCACCCATGCCCTTTCATCCCACCTATGCCTTTTTATCCCACCCATGCCTTTTCATCCCACCTATGCCTTTTCATCCCACCCATGCCTTTTCATCCCACCCATGACTTTTCATCCCACCCATGCCTTTGACATGCGCTGGCAGACCATCTACTGTGCTGCTCGCTATGCTGTGGCTCAGTTCAGGGAGGAATGTGTATATTGGCCGCAACATGCTTGCGCAATGCTTGCGTAGGTCCTTGTAAAGTTGTGAAGTTGCATGCAATGCTTGTTGTATAATGTGCTATGCTTGATGGAAATTTGTCAAGTGTGTTGGGTGAAGTCGTTGCTTTGGCACGTCTCTTCCGCTGATTCTCCCTCACCGCAACACTCACAAAGTTTGCCTCTAACAGATTCCTTTTGTGCCAGAAAATACCAGCAGCAGAGCTCAATGGTAACAGTGAAGGCAGCAGTATACCCAGTATGGTATAAAGATACCAGTGTACTGTATCCACAACTGAAAGCTCATGAACATCCATGCATCTATGTTCCAAAAGTATCCAGAGGATCACGGTGGTACCGTAATGTCCGGCAAAATGGTGGTGCTGTTCCGGTGTGACATGCTCCTTGGTACAGGAGGTGCAATGGTGCATGAAGAGCATGGGACTAGCGTGGAACAAAACACACAGCTTTATTCCATACAGTGGAGGTAACAACCAGCTGCTGCAACTTGAAAGGAAAAAATGTTAGGTGACATGCCATAGGAATCCGTAAGTGAGAACTGAAGGGAACGTAGCGCCACTCTTGCACAGCACTGGCAGTACACTGCTGCCCAGCAGCAGCATCTACCGGTATGCGAGCACGAATCTTCTTTTGCCAAGTGGCAGGCAGGATCTCGTCAAGCGACGGGAGCTCCTCGTTGTTGTGGAATGCGAGGATGGTGAAGGCTGGGAAGAGGCAGAGCACAGTGGCGAGTGAGAGGTGGTGATGATGCGAGCGGTGATTTCGGCCTTGCACCAACCCACTTGGGCCTGCAGAGAGGGGGGGGGTATGGAAAGCAGGGCAGGCAGGCAGGCAGGCAGTGCAGGAAAGGGCAGGAAAGCAGGCAGGGAGGCCGAGGAACATGAAGGCTAAGAGGGGGCAGAACAGAGTGCCTGAAAAGGAGCCAAACCAGAGCCAGTCCACTGTTGAGAGGCCCCTGCTCACTGCTCAGAGGCCCCTGCTGAATTCAGACACAAGGAATCCAAACACAGGGCATTCAGACAAAGGGCATTCAGGCACAGGGCATTCAAGCACAGGGCATTCAAGCACAGGGCATTCAAGCACAGGGCATTCAAGCACAGGGCATTCAAGCACAGGGCATTCAAGCACAGGGCATTCAAGCACAGGGCATTCAAGCACAGGGCATTCAAGCACAGGGCATTCAAGCACAGGGCATTCAAGCACAGGGCATTCAAGCACAGGACATTCAAGCACAGGGCATTCAGGCACAGGGCATTCAAGCACAGGGCATTCAAGCACAGGACATTCAAGCACAGGGCATTCAAGCACAGGACATTCAAGCACAGGGCATTCAAGCACAGGGCATTCAAGCACAGGGCATTCAAGCACAGGGCATTCAAGCACAGGGCATTCAAGCACAGGGCATTCAAGCACAGGGCATTCAAGCACAGGGCATTCAAGCACAGGGCATTCAAGCACAGGGCATTCAAGCACAGGGCATTCAAGCACAGGGCATTCAAGCACAGGGCATTCAAGCACAGGGCATTCAAGCACAGGGCATTCAAGCACAGGGCATTCAAGCACAGGGCATTCAAGCACAGGGCATTCAAGCACAGGGCATTCAAGCACAGGGCATTCAAGCACAGGGCATTCAAGCACAGGGCATTCAAGCACAGGGCATTCAAGCACAGGGCATTCAAGCACAGGACATTCAAGCACAGGGCATTCAAGCACAGGACATTCAAGCACAGGGCATTCAAGCACAGGGCATTCAAGCACAGGGCATTCAAGCACAGGGCATTCAAGCACAGGGCATTCAAGCACAGGGCATTCAAGCACAGGGCATTCAAGCACAGGGCATTCAAGCACAGGGCATTCAAGCACAGGGCATTCAAGCACAGGGCATTCAAGCACAGGGCATTCAAGCACAGGGCATTCAAGCACAGGGCATTCAAGCACAGGGCATTCAAGCACAGGGCATTCAAGCACAGGGCATTCAAGCACAGGGCATTCAAGCACAGGGCATTCAAGCACAGGGCATTCAAGCACAGGGCATTCAAGCACAGGGCATTCAAGCACAGGGCATTCAGGCACAGGGCATTCAGGCACAGGGCATTCAAGCACAGGGCATTCAAGCACAGGGCATTCAAGCACAGGGCATTCAAGCACAGGGCATTCAAGCACAGGGCATTCAAGCACAGGGCATTCAAGCACAGGGCATTCAAGCACAGGGCATTCAAGCACAGGGCATTCAAGCACAGGGCATTCAAGCACATTCAAGCACAGGGCATTCAAGCACAGGGCATTCAAGCACAGGGCATTCAAGCACAGGGCATTCAAGCACAGGGCATTCAAGCACATTCAAGCACAGGGCATTCAGACAAAGGGCATTCAGGCACAGGGCATTCAGACAAAGGGCATTCAGGCACAGGGCATTCAGGCACAGGGCATTCAAGCACAGGGCATTCAGGCACAGGGCATTCAAGCACAGGGCATTCAAGCACAGGACATTCAAGCACAGGGCATTCAAGCACAGGGCATTCAAGCACAGGGCATTCAGGCACAGGGCATTCAAGCACAGGGCATTCAGGCACAGGGCATTCAAGCACAGGGCATTCAAGCACAGGACATTCAAGCACAGGGCATTCAAGCACAGGACATTCAAGCACAGGGCATTCAAGCACAGGGCATTCAAGCACAGGGCATTCAAGCACAGGGCATTCAAGCACAGGGCATTCAAGCACAGGGCATTCAAGCACAGGGCATTCAAGCACAGGGCATTCAAGCACAGGGCATTCAAGCACAGGGCATTCAAGCACAGGGCATTCAAGCACAGGGCATTCAAGCACAGGGCATTCAAGCACAGGGCATTCAAGCACAGGGCATTCAAGCACAGGGCATTCAAGCACAGGGCATTCAAGCACAGGGCATTCAAGCACAGGGCATTCAAGCACAGGGCATTCAAGCACAGGGCATTCAAGCACAGGGCATTCAAGCACAGGGCATTCAAGCACAGGGCATTCAGGCACAGGGCATTCAGGCACAGGGCATTCAAGCACAGGGCATTCAAGCACAGGGCATTCAAGCACAGGGCATTCAAGCACAGGGCATTCAAGCACAGGGCATTCAAGCACAGGGCATTCAAGCACAGGGCATTCAAGCACAGGGCATTCAAGCACAGGGCATTCAAGCACAGGGCATTCAAGCACATTCAAGCACAGGGCATTCAAGCACAGGGCATTCAAGCACAGGGCATTCAAGCACAGGGCATTCAAGCACAGGGCATTCAAGCACATTCAAGCACAGGGCATTCAGACAAAGGGCATTCAGGCACAGGGCATTCAGACAAAGGGCATTCAGGCACAGGGCATTCAGGCACAGGGCATTCAAGCACAGGGCATTCAAGCACAGGGCATTCAGGCACAGGGCATTCAAGCACAGGGCATTCAGGCACAGGGCATTCAAGCACAGGGCATTCAAGCACAGGACATTCAAGCACAGGGCATTCAAGCACAGGGCATTCAAGCACAGGGCATTCAAGCACAGGGCATTCAAGCACAGGGCATTCAAGCACAGGGCATTCAAGCACAGGGCATTCAAGCACAGGGCATTCAAGCACAGGGCATTCAAGCACAGGGCATTCAAGCACAGGGCATTCAAGCACAGGGCATTCAAGCACAGGGCATTCAAGCACAGGGCATTCAAGCACAGGGCATTCAAGCACAGGGCATTCAAGCACAGGGCATTCAAGCACAGGGCATTCAAGCACAGGGCATTCAAGCACAGGGCATTCAAGCACAGGGCATTCAAGCACAGGGCATTCAAGCACAGGGCATTCAAGCACAGGGCATTCAAGCACAGGGCATTCAAGCACAGGGCATTCAAGCACAGGGCATTCAAGCACAGGGCATTCAAGCACAGGGCATTCAAGCACAGGGCATTCAAGCACAGGGCATTCAAGCACAGGGCATTCAAGCACAGGGCATTCAAGCACAGGGCATTCAAGCACAGGGCATTCAAGCACAGGGCATTCAGGCTCTTGTGGGTCAACCTTGAACACAACAAAATCATCTCAGACGAAGCTGAGAAATGGAAATTACTGATCTTCAATCTCTTTTAACAAAATATGTTTGACTCAACCCTGCGCAGGCGCAGGTCCAACTGTTCAGTTGGATTTGACTTCGAGACCCGTTTGTGATGCTCCAAGAGGTTTAGCATGGAACCTTGGACACCCAAAGCAGAAATTGCAGGGACTTCTATCAGATCCATGGCAGATCCTGTTGCCGAACCAGTTCTGTTTGAACCTTGGTGTTGGTTCAACAGTGAACTCGACTGGTGTACAGGCTCCACTCGATTGCGGTACTTGCTCAACCCTACCTGTGACTGACCTAAGATTGACCTGAAACTGACCTGCCGCTGACCTGCTGCTGACCTGCTTGTGATTGCGGATTACCTGGGGTAGTACCTTGGCAGTCAGTGCGCCCATCCTGGGGGCAAGCGTCAGTGCCAGCACAATAGGGCTCTGGCGGTCTCTTCTTGTCATGCTATGCTCCATCCACACCTCAAACGCTATCAGCTGCTGCGAGAGGAAGCTGTTGGGCTGGCAGGCAGGAAGAGGCGAGGCCTGGGGGAGAAGAAGGGTCGGTCAGCACGAGAGAGAAGTGAGTGACAGACAAATTTTTAATGAGTGAATGAATGAATGAGTGAATGCTCGGACGCAAGAAGCCTAAAAGCACGGGCTCAATGATGGTTGTGATGTGAAGATTGACGAGACAACAGCAAGCTGCCAGCTTACATCAAAGCGTTGGTGCAAAATGCACTACAGTAAGCCAAGGAGCTGATTCATTTGACCTTGCTTTAATATGCACCGAAGTCACCCACCTGAGCCACCCACCTGAGCCACCCACCTGAGCCACCCACCTGAGCCACCCACCTGAGCCACCCACCTGAGTCACCCATCTGAGCCACCCACCTGAGGCACCCACGTGAGCCACCCACTTAAGCCACCCACCTCAGTAGTGTCCATGTCTTGAACTGACCTCAACATGCAGCTTGCTGCTTTTCAATGTCACTCAAGGTGGAGGTGAAGCAATCATTGGAAACCACAGAAGCTTAGCAGCACCCCACCTACATCTTCACTGCCCTGTCACCAGTTTCAGTGCCCAACCCTCTCCTCAAACAGCTTCACTGCCCAAAGTTCTCCAAACTTAGCAGCTCCAGACCTACAGCTTGACCCCAAATTTCTCCTCCAAGAGCTTGTCTGAGCAGTGGACAAATTGGCGCAAACACACTGCTCTCTTTGCCCCCTCCACGTTCACAAGCTGCTGCTCTTTCCTGTCACCCGTTCTTTCGCACTTTCTGTTTTCCGCTCCCCATTCAATGCCCTCCACTCCCTCCACTTCGTCAGAAAGTGAGGAAACATAAACTAGCTTGCTCCTCTGTTCCCCAGCTTCTATTGAAACACCCCTCCTGTCCCCAACACTCGTCCAGATAGCCATATCACGTGCCACAACCGCATAGCCCATTCGCACCACTGCCACATGCCGCGGTCTGATTCGCCGGTCCAAACTGCACCCAAGAAAAGAAGGGTAGGCAAGAACCTCCATTATAGAGAGCCCCATGTCCCGTTTTAAGTACTCCACCTTGGGCTTCAGGTTCGTTTTCCAACTGTAATAGATAGACGGCGAGTACTTCACAACCAAATCCACAACCAACCGACGAGCCCTGCGTCTCTCGACACTTAGTGCTCGAGAATGATTTTCCCCTTCCAAACAATTACCTCTACCACCTTCCCCCAACCTCTGCGTCCCACTTCCCTCTCCTCCACTGCTCTCCAATGCCTCTTCCACTTCTCGCACAAGCTCGCTAAAAGTCTCCTTCATGCCATCTTCACTAGAAGCTATTAGCAAAGGATATTGTGTCACCACCCGCACAATATTCTCTTGGCCAATCAAAGTAGCCAGTAACGCCACCTTGCCTTGCACGTTCTCTTTCGATAGACTCAGAACCTGCGGGTAGCTCCTCGCAATTCTCCATGCTGCTTTCTCCCCCACCAGCTCCACAAAGAACTGGAGCTTAGTTAAAAGAGTTTCTTTGCTGATTCCGAGGATGCTGGGGGCATACCGAAGCACAGTGGTCGCAATGGAGGGGGTGTCTGGGGAAGTGAAGGACTGCAGGATGGCAATATTTTCTGCAATGCGATAAGGAGGCGTAGAGAGGATGGTTGGATGTTTCAAGAGAAGCCTACTTAAATGGAAATGCTGCTCATGTTGTTGCTGCTCCAGGAGGCCTGTGCTGATGCTACCGGCTCCTACCTTCCTTCCACATCCCGCCTTCAGGTAGGCTGATAGCATCTCAAGCTGAATGTTCACCGCCTCTTTTCTCCGAGTCAAGATGGACGGTGATCTCTCTATAATCACACCCAGCTTGTCCACAGGCACCCCTGCCCTCTCCACCAGAATGTCCAGGTTCGTTGAATGTGCCTCCCACCAGAGTAAGCTCCGTGCGAATCGAAGCACCGAGCCCAATTTGCTTTGGCGGACGCCTTGAGCCAAGAGAAACTCAAGCACATTCTGAATCCGTGGCAAGGGAAAGCGGAGCCAGGCTGGATTTCTCAGAGTCATGTGCGCGATGTCAGCATCGGATATGCCGTATGACTTGAGGAGACGGACACGTGGCAGGAAGTCATTGGTGGGATTGGAGCGGAGGAGTTGGGGCTTAAACGCTAGGAGGGAAGCGACAGTGGAAGGGGAGGAGATGCCGAGGTGGGAGGAAAAGAAGCGGTAGAGGGAGAGGAGCGAGGAGGGAGATGCCACACGCCGGTTGTACAACTGAGGATGCGTGGGAGATGTGGTGGGTGGTGTGTCCTCCTCACATGTCTCTGCTTCTGCATCCTCCTCATCCTCTTTTTCCGCCTCCTCATGGTCCCCCTCCCACCCCTCCTCCTCCTCCCCTTCCTCCTCTTTCACTTTCCCAATTCTCTCGTCGTACTCGTTGCTTCTTATCCCACTCCCACACTCCTCCACCTCCTCGCTCACAATCTGAGGCCCGAATTTCTCCCTCAGCACTTCAGCAATCACTGCCACGGCCTCCTCCTCCTCCTTGCAGCCTTTCCTCCTGTAGCTCTTCCTCCCGCCTTCCTCACTCTTCCCCGCTGCATTCCCTGCTCTCCTTGCACCGCTCACATCTTCACCTCCCGTTTCCCCCCCCTCCTCGTCCCCCACTCTCCTGACGCTCGCCTGACTCCCTTTTCCACTCCCCCTCTCCTTGCCCTTCCCTGAACGCGTTTGAAGCTCCGCTTGCACCGCTACTAAAGGGTTGGTCCTAGAAAGTGATTTCGACCCAGAAATAGCAGTCTCCGCCTCGGAAGCTTCTGCGTCTGCTGGCCTGGAAGACGCACCAGCGACGGACCATGCCGCGAAGCTTCGCACGTCGGATGAGAAGGTATTATGGGGCGCCTCGAAGCTTCGGCCTGGGTTTTGGATTTGAAGAGACGCGTTTCGCGCAGGGTCGTTTGGATTCGATGCGATCCGATCGAGGCTTGGCAAGGAAGAAACATGAGATCGCGATGCGATTCGGTGTGCTTGAGGTATCTCATAGGTAATTAATCTGGAAATTGAACCGATAAATGGCCGTGACATATGAGGTAGGACTAGCCATAGCGACCGGCGGGCTGATCTACGCGAGGCGACGTAGACGTTCATGAATTCCTTGCGTTGCCTACTACGTCGAATTTGTTGAACTCTTCATGTATGCCTGAATCCTCGCTAACCCTAACTGGCCAGTGACGCGAAACGCGAAGTCAAATTCGAGTGTGCGGATTTCGAAATTTGAAATCGAGAAACGTTTTCAGTGGCGACTGATGCCTCGAGCTGCTATTTTAGCTGGCACTAAGCGGCTGCTCCATATTGTGCTAACTACTCTGGTTCGGTCTCGGGGGCTACCAACAAGATCAGCAGTGTGACGATCACGGGGGTCTAACTACTCTGGTTCGGTCTCGGGGGCTACCAACAAGATCAGCAGTGTGACGATCACGGGGGTCTAACTACTCTGGTTCGGTCTCGGGGGCTACCAACAAGATCAGCAGTGTGACGATCACGGGGGTCTTAGGGCGCGTAACCATTTTGCACCCGACGGTTCGAACCGTGGACCGTCCGGATGGCGAAAAGGTAACATAATTCGCGCTATTTCGTAAGTGGGTTCGTTAAGGTGTTGGCGACATCGCCGACAAAACGGACTGTCGTGACACTTTTTCCTATTTTCAACGGTCCGAAATCTGATCCGTGGACAGTCCGAATCCCAAACGGACTGTCCGACAGTTCTTGCACACGATTGGCGCGCGACGTAAAAATTGTCGAGTCACCTCGTCCACCAACAAACATATCCACAGGAGGACCTTGAGATTTTGACAAAACGAAAGGAGCTCCAACGCTGCTTTCGCCAGAACCTGTAACTGTGGTTGCTGCCTACAGATTTTGACAAAACGAGAGGAGCTCCAATGCTGTCACGATATTTCGCTAGCATTCAGTTTGTTACCTTTGGCGAAAAAACACTGCACATAGTACCAATGCAACGGGCATAACATTGGCAACCACTGTCTCGTCGAAGGTTTGGGTGGCACCGCTGCGAACGAGCGAGCCGAACTTCGTCGTGTGGTTTTGATTTCAAAGCGAATCGAACCTGAGGACGCGTCAACTCCGGCAAAATTTGGCGAACGAACCTGAGCCCAACAAGGTGGTGGAACCAGGTTCCCCCTGGGTTCGATCCAATAACTTCTGTCCTAGGTTTTTGTTTTCGTAGCTACTATTATCCATGGAGGTTATCAGATGACAGTCCTTCGGCAGCGAAAGGAGCAAAGATCGAGGGCACATTCTGCATTGAATACAGCAAGTAATCGTTTTTGTTTGATATACGCGGAGCGGCGCGGGTATGGCTCTTGAAATCCGGTTTCGAAATTCCAAAGGATTGGTTCTCTGCGAATCCGACGACGATCATATCATATGTGGCGATAAACCATCGGTATCGTCCCGCGTGGACGTCCTCGTCGCTGCCTCTCCCAAGGAGCCTCTCCGATCGGTCTTCACGTCGTGAGGGATCTTGCATGTTACCACATCGAGGGCTGCGTCCGGCGAATTTGCTTTCATGTCGCATGTTTCCAGCGACCCGCAAACGCGCCTTGGCTCGCCACACGCAGCTCAGGGAATTCGCCATGCGAGGTTATATGGCATTCAAGCAAAGCCGCTGGCGATTCACGGAAGGCCTAGGGTAGCGACTCGTTTTGGATGGGAGCTTGATAGAACAATCTCACATGCGCGTCGCAGCGCCACTGAAACTCCATATGCTTGTGATCGAACCCATGCGTCGCATTTTCCCAAGTGTCACTTGGCAGCAAGGAACTGGGGTGCAGCCTAGGCCGGGAACCTCGATGCGCCGCGTTTTCCCCAATGGCGCCGCGCTGCTCATCGCCCGATGGGCTGGAAGCGAACGTGCGACAGTGATGCCTGGCAACGGGGACCGTAGGGATTGGGATGGTGAGATCTGAAAGAAACAAATGTAGCGAGGCGAACCCCTGCTCCTCCGTTGAAGTCTCTCTACCCACGGGCCCTGCTCCTCATCGTTCACGCCTGCTTAACTCCAACTGCACCTCCAACGTCCAGATTGCTTAGCGCTCTGCCGGTCCACTTTTTTTGTCCCGCGCCTCTACCTTCCCATCTACTGCTCTCCATTGGCTATTATCCTTTCAAAGATCCAAAACGGTTTTACCTGCCCCCCTTCAACCTCCCATAACCCCTTGTCCCCCGTCTCCCCACTTACCTTTCTCCCCACTCCACCCCCTTCATCACTTCACTTCACCCGCTTCCTATTTCTCACCATCAACCCTCGCCTAGTTCTCCCAGGTTTCCTCCCCTCACTCTGAGCTGCTTCTGCTTCCGTCTTCCCCTGCTTCATCCCTCCCACCAACAACCCCTACTGCTGCCGCTCATCATCCCCCTAACACCTGGGTGGCAGGATCCGATAGTGGAGAGGAATACACAGCATCAGCCACCACCTCCTGCACTGCACCCCGCCTGCACTCCCGCTCCTCCGCTACCCTCCAAACTAGCCCTTCAGCACGCCATGGCTCTCTGGTGCGTCTCACCATCACTCTTCCCCAAGTTTCGGATGGGGAGAGGTGTGGGGAGAAATGTGTGTGGGTAGGGCAGGGGGTGGCGGAGGGACGCGAGGTGGTGGTGGCGTGGCTTGGGGTTTCAGCAAGCGAGGCGGGGAGCTATGCACGTGGAGGCTGGCCCGGCCCAGCACGCCGGCCTGGACATGGCCCGAGTTGCGGCCCGGGGTTTCTGGTGTCAGGCCGAGCTGGTCAAGGCCAGATTCCGACCCGAATCGGGCAGGTCAGTGTTGTCGTTTGACCGGTGTCACTGATTCAGTGATGCTCGCGAACCAAGCTGCGCGCGCCGCGTGTCACGTCTTGTGAGCACAGCTAGGGGGGGTTGTGGCTTCGAACAGTGGGGAGTGGGCTCGAGCAATGTGGGGTGTGGGCGCGAGAAAGGAGGGTGTGTGGATGAGCAGGGAAGGGTGTGGGCGTGAGCAGGGAGGGGTGTGGGCGTGAGCAGGGAGGGGTGTGGGCGTGAGCAAAGGGGGGTCTTGGCGTGGGCGGCCAATGGGGGGTGTGGGCGCGAGCAAGGGGGATGTGTGTGGGAGCAATGGGGGTGTGATGTGAGTGCGAGCAGATATTGCCCGGCCTTATCCAGCAAACAGGCCCAGGCCCGGCACGTGCTCATGCCTGTTGCTCTTGGGTGACCCCGCGGCTTCCCTATGCCTGTGCCAAGCATATGTGTCCTATCCCACGAGCAGAGTAGCAATATACTGTTGCGGCCTTGTGTTATCCCTTTTCCTCCCTCCCCCGTACTCGCCGCTTCCCCCTCTCACACTCAGTTTATGTGTGCTGACATAGCGTTTGTGGCCCCATGCCTGCCTCCTTTCTTCATTACCTCTTCCCGCTCCCCTCCCCCTTCTTCCCTCTCGTCCTTCCTCCGCGTCCTTCTTCCTCTCTCACTCAGTTGATGCCCCTTGGTGCGGTGCAGACAGTGTGTTCATGTGCTCATGCCTGCGTCCCCTGCTGCCCTGCTTTCGTACGCCCCCTCACCCCTTCCCTCTTCCTTCCCGCCCTCCCCTCTCTCTTATACAGCTAGCGTGTGTTGACTCTGACTGTGTGGTTGTGGGCACGTGGCATGGTACGGCATGGCATGGTACGGCATGGCATGGTACGGCATGGCGGAGCTGCCAAGACAGGAATATCAGCCGAGGAGAGAACCAGCAGAGGCGCTAAGAAGCAGCGGAGCCCGAGCATCGTCTTGGCAAATACGAGCCACAAGATTCGCATGGTGAGGTGAGTGGTTGGTTGGGTGGGTGAGTGGTATGTGTGCATGTGCATGGTGTGTGCATGGTTTGCAGTGCATGGTTTGCAGTGCATGGTATGGTTTGTGCATGGCGTGTGTGGGTATATGGCACCAGTGCATGGTTGAGTAGGGGTACATGCCGTTCGTTTTGGGCACCAGCCAGCCACCCCTTCCTTTCATCTTTACCTCCCCTTTCCCTCCCTTCCCCTCTTCTTCCCCTCTCCTTCTTCACCCCTTTGCAAGTACCATATTTAAGCCGCTATCCTAAATTCAAATCTCTTCGATTATGTCCGACTTGGGGAAGTTTCCCCATTCCCTCCCCCTCCCCTCCCCTTCCCCTTTCCCCTCGTCCCATCCCCTTCACCTCGCCCTCCCCCACTCCCCGCCCCTAACCCTCTCCTCCCCCCCCCCCCGCCCCTCCACCACTCCCCTTTCCCTCTCCTTCCCATCCCCTCCCCCTCCCTTTTCCCTCCCCCGCCCCTTCCCCTTCCCTCCCCTTTCCCTCCCCATCCCCGCTCATCACATGCACCGGAATCAGCTCAGACGTGGCCAACATCGACAGCCAGCCCCTGCTGCTGGAGGGCGTTCCCTTCTGCCTTGCCACGAGCGTCAAGGAGGCCACGGCTCTGCTCCTCGTTGCTGGAGCAGAGAGGGCCCACAGGTGAGTGTGAATGGGGTCTAATGGTTGGTGTGATGTAGGGGCGGTGTTGACTGGCAATGTTGGGGAGATGAAATGTGTTGCACCTGATGTTGTAACTAAGAAGCATTGGAGGACGTTCATGTGGATGTGAGGAAGCATTGATGGTCTCCCCTACTACCAGCTGCCCTACTACCACGTCAGCACATCAACCCTGAAGTTGATCCATCCTCCGTATGAACTCACTCACCATTGCAGCCACCCCATCACGTCCCACTTCGTAGTCGCCACTTCGTAAGAACCATTATGTTAGCCAGAGAAGGAGAAAAGAGCACTTTTAGTGGTGACTGACTTGGGTTGAGAGCGTACAGATTCGTAACCGCACCAGCAATGGCTGCCGCCACGCTATCCCTTGGCTCCACGTCATGCATGCGTCCCACTCTTTCCTCCCCCGGTGGTCCTCAGAAAGCGTCGTCGCTTCCGTCTCTGCCGTCAACCACGCCGCGTGTCTCGATGAGCACCACGATGAGCACTGCCGATTTTCTAACCCATTCTGACAAGCAATGCGCATGCCTCGATTCCCCTCCTTCTCTCTCCACCACCCTACCCCCCCACTAGCTGGACAAAAGCATCGACTCGCACATTTTCTGACCTTCTCCCCCACTCCCCATTTCTCACCCATTTTTCCCTTCTCCTCCCCTTCTCCATCCCCATTCCTTCCCCTCCCGCCCTGTTCCCCTCCCCTCCCTTTTCCCACCAGCTCGACAACTGCATCAACTTCCACATGCCAATTCAGAGCATGAGAGCATGGGAGCAAGGGATGTTTCTCTCAGTGCAAGGCCGACTGAACCCCCTTCTTACGGGCTGCAGCCTGCATCAACGCACTGAGAGTGTGGCTTATAATTCTGGCCAACGCGAGTAAGTTCACTCAGACGTTAGTGGAGCTCTGGGTCCGGCAGATGTTATTCAGCTGCCCCGAAAATAGACAAGTGCATGCTAAAACATATGTATGTGTCTGTATACATTCGGAATGTGCTTGTTAACATTGTAATACACACCGTCCCACGCCTCATGTCACACCTCATCCCATATCCCTCCCATAGCTCTCCCATGCTGCACATCCCTCTCGACTGTCGTTTTTGAATCGCGTTCGCTTCCCTCAGTCCCTTTCCTCTTGTGTCCCTCACTCATTCCTGCCCATCACTCAGTTGGAGCATATTCCTCTCGAGCTCAAAGGGATACAGATGGGTGCCACACAGCGGCAGAAACCGTGTCATAAATAACCAGCCACGCAGGGCTGCAGGAGTGGGTGGAGCGTGGGGCTGCAGTGAGGAGGTGCAGTTGTGGCAGCTTCTTGTCTGTTGCAATTGAGACCCACCCAGGTGTCATACGGTACACAATAGGAGCCATGCATTCTGAGGCACATCAGTGCATCGGGGAGAGCTGCGGCAACACACAGCAACCTCGGAGGAAAGCCATTTGCTGATTTAACTTGGAAATCTTTATCTCCTACCTGCCTCCTGCACGTGGGCAAACCAAGCGGAAAGACTTTTATTTCCCACACAGACTGAGGCCCGCTTGTGCTTGACCACTGCCCTCTAACCCATGCAGCATGCTTACCACCCAGCACAGCCAACACCTCTATTACTTCAATACGATTCAGACATGGTACCTCTACCGGCATTTATTTAAGACCTTGGCAGACAGCAGGTCCTAAGTTATACACCGTAGTGCTCATTAGGGTCGGATAACTATTTATCTACCACATGCAACTGGTTATGTTCCAAATCAAGAGAATTTCCACCAGGTATCGTAAGCTATGCTAGGCCATGACATACCGTAGTGCACACACTGAAGGACACAAGTTCTGAGCCCCCGTTCTCCGACTCTCTGCAACATCCAAGTTGAGTTGAGCCATGCACAACCAGTATTCCATAACCCACTCCTCTGCATGCATGCTATGCAGCCTCTCATTCTTCACACCCCTTGCCTCCATACCTCTCCTCCCCTACACAGTCATGGTCAACTCTTCCCTCACCTCACCTCCCTTTCCATTATCACTTTCTGCCACCCTACCTGCCCATCCGCCCGCGTACATCATCGTTAAGAAGAAAATCCCCATCTGGCGTGTATAGAGTTGTCAGCTTAATCAGGGCAGTCAGCTGCTGCAGCCCATCATCCGTAACTGCCGTGTAATCCAGATCAAGCCTCTGAAGCCCTGTCAGCCTCCCCACATGCACCATGCCAGCATCTGTCACACCCTTGCAATCAGAAAGATACAGCGATTTGAGAGAGGAAAGACCTGTCAAGTGCGACAGACCAGCATCGGTCACCTCGGTCCTCCAGAGAAAGAGCCGCTCGAGACTAGTCAAGGACCCAACGCCTTCCAACCCACCATCCGAGACGTCTGTGCTGTGAAGATTCAACGTCTGCAGCCGTGGCAGCCTGTAGAGGTGCTTGATGCCCTCTGCACTGAAGCCTGAGCTCGAGAACAAGTCAATGCTCTTGAAATGCGTCATGGTGGACACATGGGCGAGCATGGCGTCTGAGAGACTGTGGAGATTACTCAGGTCCAGGTGGGTCTTCTGTGATGCTGACTTGATGTTCTAGAGGGGATGGATGGAAGGAGAAATGATGAAGCACGGGAGGGATGGATAAGAAAGAAGCAGAACGAGCAAGAACGCATGCCTGGAGAAGAGATCGCTCAGCACTCACCTGCCATGCCCTTCTCTCATCGCCTTCACACCGCCTGATCCCCTCCTCAACCCTCCACCGCGTCACAGTATCCTGATGCTCCTTCACCCACCACGACAGTGCTCCAAGGGTAGCAATTGCAAAATACAGCACGAGTATATAAATCGATGGAAACTGCAAGTGTTACAGCAAGGGCATAAGCAGTGACGCACGTGTAAGGGACGGGAACGGCACCATGATCTTCTGAACTAAGACACTGAATCCAGGCATAATGTTGGTTTGTTGCAGCAAGGCGGAACACAGGGAACACCTGTGTCATACCAACACGCACCAGGGTGTGGAGGGAGTGAATTGGCATACTGAGAGCGTGGGCACGAGTGGGAGGTAGGCATGTCTCGTTACTGCAAATGGCAGTGCCATTGTCCTGAGTGGCAGATAACACATGCATGCAGGTACGCGCACGCACACACAGGGAACACATAACAAATTATTGTGTGTAGATGATATGCTAATCATAAACATAAGAATAAGAAAAACAAATTATGGCATGGACAATGAGGGAGGAAGGGAAAGGGTAGCATGAGAGGGTGGGTGACTTGCTGACTGTCGATGTCACGTGGAAGCTGCAAGAGGCAACAATGAAGGAAGAAGAGCAAAGGTGCATGCTAAGAACAGGTAAGCCAACCTCTAGAATGCAAGGAACACACGACGTGAAAATCATGCACAGCAATGTTGGAGGAGTGGCCATGGATAGTCAAAAGAAGTGGCAGTGAGTAACCACTCACGTGCTTATGAAATGGATCACGACAACAAGCATCCCTGTGAAGTGACACCATGGTGATGGCCACGGCGAGAAGGAAAGCTACGAGCAGCCCTGGCAGCAGCATGGCCACTGCAGTCATCCGAGCCATGGCTGATGGGGCAAGCCCAATGCAAGGCGTGCGCCTGCACAACACCGTGCAGTGGGGGTTGGAAGAAGTGACAGGGCAAGTGGGAAAAAGGGGGATTGGAAGGAAGAGGGTGGGAGTGTGAGGTGTGGCAGGAACAGGGGAAGAAGGGAAGGCGGCAGCGGCACGAGAAGGAAAACAGGTTTTAGAGGAGACAGAAGCACATAGGAATCGGGGGGCAGACGGGAAGAGATGTGACTGTCGAGGCGAGAAAAATCACGATGCAAGGTTAGGCGAGGTGTGAGGCTTGGGGGGAGGGAAGTAGACAAGAAATGAGCAGCATCAGGAGAAGGAAAAAGAGGCAGCAGGGGAGGGATGGGGGCAGTGGTCAAACCAGAGGAGGGAGGGGGCAGCAGCAGAGGGGAAGGAGGAGTGGGAGGCGAAAGGCAAGGAAGAAACAAGCAGCAGATGCAGGGGAAAGGGGGGACTGGCGAAAACAGAGACGGAAGACAGTTGTGCAATGAGTGCCCGAGAGGCAAAGAATGAGATAAAGGACGGAACAGGAGCAGAAGTGAGGCAGTCCAATGGGACTGGCAGCGAACCATACGACAATCAGTCAGGTGTAAATTGGCCAATCGAAGGACGGGGGTGGAGGGTTGAGAGACAAGACAAGGGCACAGACAGAAAAAAGTCCAAAGCGATGGATGGGAAGCAGGGGCGTGCCAGAGTGTGGAGCAGCGGCCTCTGAGTGAAAGTGCGGCGAAGAGAAAGTGGGCAACGAAGGTAGCAGGGGGGCCAAGGAGAAGAGACAACGAGGAGAGGTAACAACGCGAGGGGTGGAAAGGATAGATGGGAAGTACTGGGGATGACGGTAAGGGCAAGCCTAGTATTGAGAGCGTGAACGGGCAGAGGTTGGTAAGGGGCACGGATAGGGAGGGTGATCAGTGCAGGGTAATGGAAGAGGATAAAGGAGATGCATTTTGAGAGGAAAATGCAGATATGCACGGAACAGATGCAGCAGCAAGGGAAGCACGCAAAACGAAAAGGTGAAACATGCTGAAGGGCAGAAGAGTGCAAAGAGAAGAGGCCATGAGGGCAGAGATACCGACCTTGTGAGGTGAGTGAGTGACTGGCGACAAAAACAATGCATAGCGAGGACTGGAGCACCGAAAGCAGAAAGTGCAAGCACAAGGCAGAGACAAGGACAGGCCGCGCCGAGTACATGCAGGGAGAAACCCGATAGATGCACTCACTGTCTGGTGAGAGTAGGTATGCATATGACATTGAAGCTGCAGCAAGTGAAATATGCAAAGGGGATAGCTAGATACTTTGAGGATCACCCAAAGGCAAAGATGAATACCCCACAGAATACCCACGCATAAAAGACAGATACCCACCTCACAGGAAAAAATCAAAGCAACAAACGACTGGCAGAGAGGGTGAAGCTTGAAGCACGACTTGGCGGCGGCAGGGAAGGGGCAGCTGAGGAGGTGTATGAGTGTGGGTGGACGAAGGCCTGGGGATGAAACGCAGGAGGCATGGGAGAGGGAGGAGAGGAGACAGTGAAATTTGCCGTGGAAAGTAGGTGGCATTGAAAGAGGCTAGTGGGTAGCACAACTCCCCTCGACATCCGACCGATAAACTGGCCGGTCAAGAAAGAGAGGAGGAAAAGGAATGAACAAACCAAAACTGGTGACAGGAGTAGCAGCAGCAAGTTAAGGAGGAGCAGATGGGGCGAGCTGGATTGGACATGGAAAGTAACTGATCACGAAGCGGTAGAGGCAAGCTGAACTGGAAAGGGGTGAAACCATCAGGCATGCAAAGTGAGGAGCAGTTAGACTAACGCTGGGATGGAAATGGAGGAGCAGGATACGTACGGACGGACAAGTGCGGCAGGGAACGCAACGGGGAAGAGAAGCAGCAGCGGGGCACCAGTGACGTACCTGGTGTGTGGAGGTGGCAGGTGGCAGGTGGCAGGTGAGGCAGATTGAATCGTAAGCACCTTAGTCGGCAATAGTCTACTTGCTATCGCCTATCGTGTTCTCCACGATCTCCCGAATCCAATGATATGTGCAGCTCTGCTTGAAGTTGTCAATACACACTTCAGCAATTTTCAGAATCTGATTGGTATGATTTCCAGAATGAGTACAAGCAGTTTTATAGTCAGGCAAGACACAAAATGCGATTCGTAACTTCACTTGTTTCCCAAGTAACCGCGTGCGCCTCGTTTCACCCCGAGTCGCACACACAACCGAACCGAATTCGGTGAACACTCCTCAAGACCGAATCTGGAACCTTCTCGAACACGCCTCGAGCTCGAACCACAATTTCCCCTCGCCAACTTCAATCTCGATGCTTCTTCCACCTTCTCACACATTCCTTCTCGATTTCTCTCTCCCTTCTCACGCCGTAGGCCGATTTCCACCGTTTCACCTAGAATCATCCACGCGCTTCCATTTCGCCGTCATTCCGCCGTCGTAGAGACTTTCGCCTTAGGTTCCGTGGTTGGGCGAACCAACCCTAACAATCTCCCCTGTGGTTCGTCAACCACGAACACCACTCGCACTGCTCCCCTGCTCCTTGTAGCCTTCACAGGGTCTAAGTCGGCTTCACGCTCCCCTGCAGCTCCTGCACCTTGAACCTCTGCTTACGTGTCTTGTAGTTGAGCGCCTTGACATCCAAACCTTGAGAGATTTTCTTATGCCTCTCGCTTCTCCTCGGCATCTTTACACCCAACACCTCTCGGGTCTCATACCCTTCAACGCGTTCATCCTCCTTAAGCACTTGCCCCTTTGCAGTTGCATTCGCCTTTGATCCTTTCACCATGATGTCCCCTTTCACAGCTTCAACTCCCACACACTTCGCATTTACTGCTTCATCTTCAACCACGATCGCTGCTGCAAAAGTGTTGACATCGTCTCCATCTCCACCGTTTACTGCTGCTGCCTCCATGATCACTATCTCCTCTTCCTGCTTCACTGCTGCCTCCACACTCGCAGCCATATCATCCGAGTCCTCACTCTCATCATCCTCAGTAGACTCAGGATCCTCATAGATCTCATCCTTATCGTTCATCGCGACCAAGTTCATCTCATAGAAACCGTCACCGAAATAACCATCCGCATACTTCTCCCACTCAGGACCAAACACTGTAACCTCGCCTCTGTCATAAAATATCTTGCACCCCAAGACATCAAGCTGTGACTGACTGACCAAGTTCACCTTTAAATCCTCAACCAGCAGCACATTCTCCAGTCTCATCTCTCCATACGGACTCTGTAGCACCACGTCACCCTCTCCTGTCACTGGTAACTTCCCACTGTTACCTTGTAGTATATAATCCTCACTCGACTCCCTCACATTCTCCATCCAATCTGACCTGAATGTCATGTGACGCGTGCATCCGCTGTCCATGAACCACGCCATCTTCTCACGTCCATCTGTCTGAGCCTCCTTCGGTAAACGCACCACGTTCGCGAGATGCGCTCCTCCCAAAATCACATCCTCCTTTTCCGCTTCCACCACATTCGCCTTTGTCGCCACATTCCTCTGCTGCGACGGACCCTTGTAGCTCATGCTATTCGGGTTGGAGTAGCACTCTGCGGCACGATGCCCGTAGCGCCCACAATAATCACACTTGCCGCCAAAACCTCGTTTCTGCTGCCACTCCGCTCCTGCATTTTCTCCTTTATCATTCTCCACAGCTTTGCCCTTGTAGTTTCTGCTTCGAGGATTTTCGTAGCAGTTTATCGCTTTATGCCCCCTCTTTCCACACTGGTAGCATGCTCCAAACGCCTTCGTGGCATTCACCATACCCGGCCTCTCCTCGTCGAATTCTGTAACTGCTGCTGCTGCTTTCTTCTTCCTCATCTCCTTCACCGTCTCAAGCGACTGCAGAATCTCCTGCAGCTTCATCAAACTCTCCGGCGGTTGGTACGTAAACATACGGATGTCGGATTCCCACTCCTTAGGAAGGCCTTGGATGATATAGTCAATCATCTCGTGCTCCATCTCCGCGGCTCCCATCACCCGCAAATCCTCGTTGTAGCTTTTCGCCCTGTTGATGTAGGTGATGATTTTCTCGCCTTTCTCCATGCTCAGCGTCAGCAGTTGCTTCCTGATCGCCTTCTTGTTGACATCGTTCGTACCCATGTATGTGGACTCCAGGTACTCCCACGCTTGCTGTGCAGGGTTCAGCTCCCCTGCAAACTGGTCCAAATCCACCGCGATTCCATCGGCAACTGAATGACAAAGCTGAAAGAAAGCTTGCTTACTTTGCTTTTTAAACGCCGCTATTTTCTCCTTCGTATCCGTCGTGGAAGGCGCAACTCCCTCCATCGTCTCCTCGTCGGGACGGTAGTACGGCAAGAGGTCCACCTCCTCTGCCCTTCGAATGAACTTCTTTCGCCACACGTTGTAGTTGCTTCCATTGAAGCGCTGAGCTTCACTGAGCCCGATCGTCGGTTTCGCCACCAATCGGCCACTCGCAAGGGCCTCGAGAAGAGCCTTCAACTGCGGGTCTCCAAGACTCACACTGGAACCCGAGCTCGCCTCGTCTCCCATAGCGTAGGCGTGAACGACTCCTCTTCTCCACTAATTTCACTTAGCGCACCAAGTGAATTCGCGACGATCGACGAGCCCGTTCGTCAAGCTCTGATACCAGTTCTTAGGATCGTAAGCACCTTAGTCGGCAATAGTCTACTTGCTATCGCCTATCGTGTTCTCCAATGATATGCGCAGCTCTGCTTGAAGTTGTCAATACACACTTCAGCAATTTTCAGAATCTGATTGGTATGATTTCCAGAATGAGTACAAGCAGTTTTATAGTCAGGCAAGACACAAAATGCGATTCGTAACTTCACTTGTTTCCCAAGTAACCGCGTGCGCCTCGTTTCACCCCGAGTCGCACACACAACCGAACCGAATTCGGTGAACACTCCTCAAGACCGAATCTGGAACCTTCTCGAACACGCCTCGAGCTCGAACCACAATTTCCCCTCGCCAACTTCAATCTCGATGCTTCTTCCACCTTCTCACACATTCCTTCTCGATTTCTCTCTCCCTTCTCACGCCGTAGGCCGATTTCCACCGTTTCACCTAGAATCATCCACGCGCTTCCATTTCGCCGTCATTCCGCCGTCGTAGAGACTTTCGCCTTAGGTTCCGTGGTTGGGCGAACCAACCCTAACAATCTCCCCTGTGGTTCGTCAACCACGAACACCACTCGCACTGCTCCCCTGCTCCTTGTAGCCTTCACAGGGTCTAAGTCGGCTTCACGCTCCCCTGCAGCTCCTGCACCTTGAACCTCTGCTTACGTGTCTTGTAGTTGAGCGCCTTGACATCCAAACCTTGAGAGATTTTCTTATGCCTCTCGCTTCTCCTCGGCATCTTTACACCCAACACCTCTCGGGTCTCGTACCCTTCAACGCGTTCATCCTCCTTAAGCACTTGCCCCTTTGCAGTTGCATTCGCCTTTGATCCTTTCACCATGATGTCCCCTTTCACAGCTTCAACTCCCACACACTTCGCATTTACTGCTTCATCTTCAACCACGATCGCTGCTGCAAAAGTGTTGACATCGTCTCCATCTCCACCGTTTACTGCTGCTGCCTCCATGATCACTATCTCCTCTTCCTGCTTCACTGCTGCCTCCACACTCGCAGCCATATCATCCGAGTCCTCACTCTCATCATCCTCAGTAGACTCAGGATCCTCATAGATCTCATCCTTATCGTTCATCGCGACCAAGTTCATCTCATAGAAACCGTCACCGAAATAACCATCCGCATACTTCTCCCACTCAGGACCAAACACTGTAACCTCGCCTCTGTCATAAAATATCTTGCACCCCAAGTCATCAAGCTGTGACTGACTGACCAAGTTCACCTTTAAATCCTCAACCAGCAGCACATTCTCCAGTCTCATCTCTCCATACGGACTCTGTAGCACCACGTCACCCTCTCCTGTCACTGGTAACTTCCCACTGTTACCTTGTAGTATATAATCCTCACTCGACTCCCTCACATTCTCCATCCAATCTGACCTGAATGTCATGTGACGCGTGCATCCGCTGTCCATGAACCACGCCATCTTCTCACGTCCATCTGTCTGAGCCTCCTTCGGTAAACGCACCACGTTCGCGAGATGCGCTCCTCCCAAAATCACATCCTCCTTTTCCGCTTCCACCACATTCGCCTTTGTCGCCACATTCCTCTGCTGCGACGGACCCTTGTAGCTCATGCTATTCGGGTTGGAGTAGCACTCTGCGGCACGATGCCCGTAGCGCCCACAATAATCACACTTGCCGCCAAAACCTCGTTTCTGCTGCCACTCCGCTCCTGCATTTTCTCCTTTATCATTCTCCACAGCTTTGCCCTTGTAGTTTCTGCTTCGAGGATTTTCGTAGCAGTTTATCGCTTTATGCCCCCTCTTTCCACACTGGTAGCATGCTCCAAACGCCTTCGTGGCATTCACCATACCCGGCCTCTCCTCGTCGAATTCTGTAACTGCTGCTGCTGCTTTCTTCTTCCTCATCTCCTTCACCGTCTCAAGCGACTGCAGAATCTCCTGCAGCTTCATCAAACTCTCCGGCGGTTGGTACGTAAACATACGGATGTCGGATTCCCACTCCTTAGGAAGGCCTTGGATGATATAGTCAATCATCTCGTGCTCCATCTCCGCGGCTCCCATCACCCGCAAATCCTCGTTGTAGCTTTTCGCCCTGTTGATGTAGGTGATGATTTTCTCGCCTTTCTCCATGCTCAGCGTCAGCAGTTGCTTCCTGATCGCCTTCTTGTTGACATCGTTCGTACCCATGTATGTGGACTCCAGGTACTCCCACGCTTGCTGTGCAGGGTTCAGCTCCCCTGCAAACTGGTCCAAATCCACCGCGATTCCATCGGCAACTGAATGACAAAGCTGAAAGAAAGCTTGCTTACTTTGCTTTTTAAACGCCGCTATTTTCTCCTTCGTATCCGTCGTGGAAGGCGCAACTCCCTCCATCGTCTCCTCGTCGGGACGGTAGTACGGCAAGAGGTCCACCTCCTCTGCCCTTCGAATGAACTTCTTTCGCCACACGTTGTAGTTGCTTCCATTGAAGCGCTGAGCTTCACTGAGCCCGATCGTCGGTTTCGCCACCAATCGGCCACTCGCAAGGGCCTCGAGAAGAGCCTTCAACTGCGGGTCTCCAAGACTCACACTGGAACCCGAGCTCGCCTCGTCTCCCATAGCGTAGGCGTGAACGACTCCTCTTCTCCACTAATTTCACTTAGCGCACCAAGTGAATTCGCGACGATCGACGAGCCCGTTCGTCAAGCTCTGATACCAGTTCTTAGGATCGTAAGCACCTTAGTCGGCAATAGTCTACTTGCTATCGCCTATCGTGTTCTCCAATGATATGCGCAGCTCTGCTTGAAGTTGTCAATACACACTTCAGCAATTTTCAGAATCTGATTGGTATGATTTCCAGAATGAGTACAAGCAGTTTTATAGTCAGGCAAGACACAAAATGCGATTCGTAACTTCACTTGTTTCCCAAGTAACCGCGTGCGCCTCGTTTCACCCCGAGTCGCACACACAACCGAACCGAATTCGGTGAACACTCCTCAAGACCGAATCTGGAACCTTCTCGAACACGCCTCGAGCTCGAACCACAATTTCCCCTCGCCAACTTCAATCTCGATGCTTCTTCCACCTTCTCACACATTCCTTCTCGATTTCTCTCTCCCTTCTCACGCCGTAGGCCGATTTCCACCGTTTCACCTAGAATCATCCACGCGCTTCCATTTCGCCGTCATTCCGCCGTCGTAGAGACTTTCGCCTTAGGTTCCGTGGTTGGGCGAACCAACCCTAACAATCTCCCCTGTGGTTCGTCAACCACGAACACCACTCGCACTGCTCCCCTGCTCCTTGTAGCCTTCACAGGGTCTAAGTCGGCTTCACGCTCCCCTGCAGCTCCTGCACCTTGAACCTCTGCTTACGTGTCTTGTAGTTGAGCGCCTTGACATCCAAACCTTGAGAGATTTTCTTATGCCTCTCGCTTCTCCTCGGCATCTTTACACCCAACACCTCTCGGGTCTCGTACCCTTCAACGCGTTCATCCTCCTTAAGCACTTGCCCCTTTGCAGTTGCATTCGCCTTTGATCCTTTCACCATGATGTCCCCTTTCACAGCTTCAACTCCCACACACTTCGCATTTACTGCTTCATCTTCAACCACGATCGCTGCTGCAAAAGTGTTGACATCGTCTCCATCTCCACCGTTTACTGCTGCTGCCTCCATGATCACTATCTCCTCTTCCTGCTTCACTGCTGCCTCCACACTCGCAGCCATATCATCCGAGTCCTCACTCTCATCATCCTCAGTAGACTCAGGATCCTCATAGATCTCATCCTTATCGTTCATCGCGACCAAGTTCATCTCATAGAAACCGTCACCGAAATAACCATCCGCATACTTCTCCCACTCAGGACCAAACACTGTAACCTCGCCTCTGTCATAAAATATCTTGCACCCCAAGACATCAAGCTGTGACTGACTGACCAAGTTCACCTTTAAATCCTCAACCAGCAGCACATTCTCCAGTCTCATCTCTCCATACGGACTCTGTAGCACCACGTCACCCTCTCCTGTCACTGGTAACTTCCCACTGTTACCTTGTAGTATATAATCCTCACTCGACTCCCTCACATTCTCCATCCAATCTGACCTGAATGTCATGTGACGCGTGCATCCGCTGTCCATGAACCACGCCATCTTCTCACGTCCATCTGTCTGAGCCTCCTTCGGTAAACGCACCACGTTCGCGAGATGCGCTCCTCCCAAAATCACATCCTCCTTTTCCGCTTCCACCACATTCGCCTTTGTCGCCACATTCCTCTGCTGCGACGGACCCTTGTAGCTCATGCTATTCGGGTTGGAGTAGCACTCTGCGGCACGATGCCCGTAGCGCCCACAATAATCACACTTGCCGCCAAAACCTCGTTTCTGCTGCCACTCCGCTCCTGCATTTTCTCCTTTATCATTCTCCACAGCTTTGCCCTTGTAGTTTCTGCTTCGAGGATTTTCGTAGCAGTTTATCGCTTTATGCCCCCTCTTTCCACACTGGTAGCATGCTCCAAACGCCTTCGTGGCATTCACCATACCCGGCCTCTCCTCGTCGAATTCTGTAACTGCTGCTGCTGCTTTCTTCTTCCTCATCTCCTTCACCGTCTCAAGCGACTGCAGAATCTCCTGCAGCTTCATCAAACTCTCCGGCGGTTGGTACGTAAACATACGGATGTCGGATTCCCACTCCTTAGGAAGGCCTTGGATGATATAGTCAATCATCTCGTGCTCCATCTCCGCGGCTCCCATCACCCGCAAATCCTCGTTGTAGCTTTTCGCCCTGTTGATGTAGGTGATGATTTTCTCGCCTTTCTCCATGCTCAGCGTCAGCAGTTGCTTCCTGATCGCCTTCTTGTTGACATCGTTCGTACCCATGTATGTGGACTCCAGGTACTCCCACGCTTGCTGTGCAGGGTTCAGCTCCCCTGCAAACTGGTCCAAATCCACCGCGATTCCATCGGCAACTGAATGACAAAGCTGAAAGAAAGCTTGCTTACTTTGCTTTTTAAACGCCGCTATTTTCTCCTTCGTATCCGTCGTGGAAGGCGCAACTCCCTCCATCGTCTCCTCGTCGGGACGGTAGTACGGCAAGAGGTCCACCTCCTCTGCCCTTCGAATGAACTTCTTTCGCCACACGTTGTAGTTGCTTCCATTGAAGCGCTGAGCTTCACTGAGCCCGATCGTCGGTTTCGCCACCAATCGGCCACTCGCAAGGGCCTCGAGAAGAGCCTTCAACTGCGGGTCTCCAAGACTCACACTGGAACCCGAGCTCGCCTCGTCTCCCATAGCGTAGGCGTGAACGACTCCTCTTCTCCACTAATTTCACTTAGCGCACCAAGTGAATTCGCGACGATCGACGAGCCCGTTCGTCAAGCTCTGATACCAGTTCTTAGGATCGTAAGCACCTTAGTCGGCAATAGTCTACTTGCTATCGCCTATCGTGTTCTCCAATGATATGCGCAGCTCTGCTTGAAGTTGTCAATACACACTTCAGCAATTTTCAGAATCTGATTGGTATGATTTCCAGAATGAGTACAAGCAGTTTTATAGTCAGGCAAGACACAAAATGCGATTCGTAACTTCACTTGTTTCCCAAGTAACCGCGTGCGCCTCGTTTCACCCCGAGTCGCACACACAACCGAACCGAATTCGGTGAACACTCCTCAAGACCGAATCTGGAACCTTCTCGAACACGCCTCGAGCTCGAACCACAATTTCCCCTCGCCAACTTCAATCTCGATGCTTCTTCCACCTTCTCACACATTCCTTCTCGATTTCTCTCTCCCTTCTCACGCCGTAGGCCGATTTCCACCGTTTCACCTAGAATCATCCACGCGCTTCCATTTCGCCGTCATTCCGCCGTCATTCCGCCGTCGTAGAGACTTTCGCCTTAGGTTCCGTGGTTGGGCGAACCAACCCTAACAGTGTGTGGAGGTGGCAGGTGGCAGGTGGCAGGTGAGGCAGATGGGAGCAGTGAGGTGCCCGTGTCCGTTGAGCAAGGCGCTTCTAGGGCGTTTTGTGGCCGGTGGTGAAAGTGCGCACCAGAAGAGAGGCAGATGGCAGCAGGGGCTTCTCAGCAGAGAGACAGACCAGCTTTGCAGCCGAGGGCGAAAGGGCACACGGGAAGAGAGACAGATGGTAGCAGTGAAATGAAAACTAGGTGCTTGTCAGCAGACAGACAGGCTAATCTCCTCGCATCCCCTGGTAACGCCTTCAGCCCTTCGGTTCACCCTACCTCGATCGCCACTAACAGTTCCTGCCGCGCCGCCCAGCGCGTCGTGCTGGCAGGTTGCTTGCATGATAAGATCGCGTGGGTTAGGAAGACGCGCATCGACTTTGTCGTCCCCCGCAAAAGGGAAACTACGTGGCGCCATCGTCTCTTACAGCCAACGGGCGCTTGGGAAAAACAAGCGAGCGACATGGTTCGGATTTCAGCCGCAGTGTTTGCAGCACTCTCGTTCATCACCCCTGACATAGTCGTATCCAATGCACTGGAGAAATCGATCCCGCGACTTTACCCAGGCTCAAGCCTAGGGTCGTTTATGAAACAAGGCTGTCGAATCGCTTCGATGTAGTCGATCGAGTGAGCACTACGATTTTAGGGTTTCCAGGGCCCGAGATCTCATTTGGGTTGCAAGTTCAGGACCGTTTCAAGTTAGATTCCTTGAGTTTGGTAACACCTTGTTACCAGAGACTCAACGCAGAATGATTCTTTGAACTTTTCGGACATTTCATATGAGCCCACCCGAGACGAATCGCCTGACCTCAAGGATTCGGAACCGTCCAAACAAATTTGGTTGGGTCTGAATACCCCCTCACCTCCCTCCCCAGTTCAATCTCGCCTATCTTCCAACTATTGTTTCGCGTGCACGAGAGCATAATCTAAGTTTCTCAGGTCTGCTTTCTTTTGGCAGGGATAAGCGATCCGTAAACGCTCAGCATTTAGCAGAGAGTCTGGTAACGTTGCAGCGGTCTGATAACACCTACTATGTTTATGCGAACTGCGCGAGGAATGTCGACTCCATTCTCTCATGTTCTCCGACGATAGCCCGCACCCACCTCGCCATGCGTTCCGTCGATGCTTTCGGCACCGAGGTGGTTGCTCGTGGCTCGCGTCGCTCTCGTCGAATCATAGAGAACGATGCAAGTGTGGATCTTGCCACGCCGGGGGTTCATCGACATCACGCACCAGCTGCTGCTGAAATCCGCCAAACACTTTGAGCGGCGTCGGTGCTGCTATCCGTGCGAGCGAAATCTCTTTCTCAAGAGCACCCCGCGCTTATCTAGGAGTAGCGGCGGTCCTTTTGATGTGCTCTAGAGAAGGTTCACGCTCGAAACGACGCAGGGAGTGCCTCTTGAGCTACCACTGCTCCGCTTGCGATCGCCTCCGACATGAAATGTTCTGGCGTCATGCGACGCTTCGCATTTGCGAAAGCTACCCACGCCGATTTTCCATGCAGATCAGTTGCGTGGGAATGTGTCACCTTTCCTGTCCGCATCAGTGAGCAGCACGGGGCAGGGCCGTGGCGTTTGCGGAAATGGCGGCATAGAGGGAGCAGCAGCATGCTCAGGAGCGAGTAAGGGTGCATAGGCGATGGCAGGAGAAGGCGAGGCGGGAGCGGGGAGAAGGACGTATCGAACGGGGGGTTTACTGGTAGTTTCGCGATAGCGCAGACGACGGGGGAAGCGGCTTCCAATTCAAAGCGAGCAATATTGCGGCAGGTGTAATCTGCAATGGCAATAGTGAGTCGACCGATGAAAAGCACCTTCGCCAGAATGGCGGAAAAGTTTGGATTGTTCTCGATCCATCCTTTCTGCCCTGGTATGTCCACGCACAGCATGAGATTTTTGTCACTGGGGGTGCAATGAATCTGAGCACCGCTTTTCCCCTTAGCCGTGGCATCAGCTGACTTCCACCTCCACCTCCCCGCTCTGCAGATCGCCACAACCTCCTCCCCTTCCCCTTTCTCCCCCCCTTCTCCCCCGCTCCCCTCTCCCACCCTTTTCCCCTTCTCCCTTTTACAGTCCCTTCGCCTTCCCACCCAACCAGCACCCTGCCTGCCTTGGTTAGCTTCCCACCATTCGTTGCATGCTGGTCATGCAAGGCTTTAGGTTCGTGAGATCATTGTCCCACCCACCCATTCTGCATCTCTGTTTCCCCTTTGCTTTGCGCCATGAGCGGTCTTCCATCTCCGCCCTCCTTTCTCTGCAGATTGCCACAGCCTTCCTCGCCTTGTTCCCCACCCCACTCCGTTTCCTTTCCCATACCAACAGCTCTCTCTCTCCCTTGGTTAGCTGCTCGTTGTTCATTGGCTGTTCATTGGATGCTGGTTCACCAAGGCTTTAGGTTCCATGTAGACTGTGTTTGCTAGCTTGTGAGATCATTGTGTGTGAATTCTGGCGATGTGTTAGCGCGTCTCTGTTGCTCCACCCTACAGGGAAGGGCGATACATTTGTTGAGGCGTATGGGTAGGTCTGGTTGGGTCACTTCGCGAACTTGACTCTTCTCTTCCCCTGATCCTTCCAAGTGCTTGCACGCTCCTCCACATTATACGTTGCGAAGCACGTGGTGCCACCATGGTGGGTGGGTGAGGAGAGAGAGTGAAGTGGGAGAAGGAGATGACCACCTTCTTGGGGGACATATGACACCATGAGAAACATCCTTTCACACCCCTCCTCCCTCTCCTCCCCATCCCCCTTCCTTTCCCTCCCATCTTCCCCCCATCCCGTGTACCATTCTCCTCCCATTTCCTCCCGTTCATTTTCGTGTCCCTCCCATTCCCGATTCTGTTTTTCCACACCTTCCCATTTTGGCATGCATTGTGAAAATTGCAAGACGGTCGAGGATATTGCTCCTAGGCATGGCCAGAACCAGAGTCTCTTCCTCCAAGGCAGGAATTCCCATTGTGAATGTGGTGAAGAGTGTGATATGACAATGAATTGATGTACCGCTGCAATTCCAATGGTGTCTGGCTCTCACCGCCAGATTGTGCAGACGCACCGCTGCATCGTTAAAGACTGCTTTTCACCTGACGGCTTTTTGGCTGACTGTTTGTCAGCTGATTTATTTCCAGCTGACAGCTTTGCAGCTTATTGCTTTTCAATGGACTGCTTCTCAACCAACTGCTTTCCCACTGACTGCTTCCAATTGACTGCTTCCAATTGACTGCTTCCAATTGACTGCTTCATAGCTGATTGCTTTTCAACTGATTACCTTTCAGCTAATCGCTTTTCAGCTGCTTGATTTTTCAACAGACTTCTTTTCTGCTGACTTTCAGCTGACCTTCTTTTTAATGACCTCAATCAAGCTGACCGAGATTGAGCTGATTGCGTTTTGGCTGACCCCCTTTCATCTAACCGCTTCCAGCTGACTGCCTTCCAGCCGGCCGCTGCAGCTAACCACAATTCCAGAGCTGCCTTGCTAAGCACTGGAATCATCACATCGATGCTGGGATTGGCAGCAGAAAGAAGGCGAGCACCCTTTCAGCTGACTGTGAAAGGGCGACGATGGTTGTGCAGGTGAGCGAAGCCAAATAGGATGCGACAGCACCATCACCCTGCCGAATAGGGATGGGGGAATATGGAATTGCTGCTGATCGTGATCCTATCGTGCTGCTTCCTCGCTTCGTCCATCGTTGCTAGATTTGCATCTCAGCCATCGCAACGTCACCTATGCGACCCTACTTTGCTGGCAAGTCCATTGAATATGGGCGTTGCTTTCCCATGAGCCACGACATGAGCTTTCTTCCATCTCCGCCATCCTCGCTTTGCAGAACACCCCTACCTTCTGCGCTCTCCCCTCCCACCCTTTCCCACACCAGCAGCATGTGCCATGTACTAGCCATGAGGAGCCCAACTCGTGACTGCAGCACACAGCCTGACAGACAGCCACGTGCCGAGCAGCAGCAGCAGCAGCGGTGTTGGTAAGTACAGCCTGTCAGAGGGAGGGGATTCGTTGGTACCTGCCCTCGCCCTATCCGCCCCTAGCTTCTTCTCTCAGTCGCCTCGTCATGATGGCATGGCACGGAGAGAGGTGAAGCTGGTGGCGACAGGATTGGCTGGAGTGGACAGTTAGCGCTCCAACTTGAAAGTTCTGCAGCTTATTGGGGGGAAGCTTTGCATGTCAGCCATGTGAGCTGCTATGTCTGCTATATAGCAGGAGAGTGTTAGGGCAGCTGTGCAAGCAAACCTCACTCTCATGCCTGACATCTAGAACGGGTCCCACTGCTAGTAAATTTTTACCATTCACCCATACCTGCCCTCCTCTCATTCCTGCCCTTACCCAAGCCAGCTCATCACACAAGCCAGCTCATCACCCAAGCCAGCTCATCACCCAAGCCAGGTCATCACCCAAGCCAGCTCATCACGCAAGCCAGGTCATCACCCAAGCCAGGTCATCACCCAAGCCAGCTCATCACCTGTGCCAGCCCTTAACCCATGTCTTACCGTATGCGTAACCTTTCCTCACTTGCCTCTCACGCTGCCTTCTGCAGGAACCAGTTGAGACAAGGTAGCCAGTATAAAGCAAATTGGTTTCGTGTGGTACCACAGCTGCACAGCTGCACCATAGCGTAGTGCAGCTATGCGTAATTGTTGCAGGGCACACTGAGGTGATGCCAGGCAGGATGCAAGTCGTGACCTCTTGTGCATTTTTTTGCTCGCTGTTACCATGCACAGCATGTTCTTAGGCAAAAGTGTGCTTGTATGGAGGGAATATGGCAATCACTCGATGGAACTCAAGTTTGCAGCAGCATGGGTCTCATAACATATGCCCTTCTCCCATCCCATGCACATACAAGCCCCACCGTTTCCTGCTTCACCTCTGCCCTCCTCCACCCCAACCGACAGAATGCTCTCACTGGTCTCCTGCAACTCGATGATACTCATGTGCACCTTGGGTACGCAACTTTGATACAGAAACAATGTACCCTATTCTCTTAGATGTACTCCATTCTCTTAGATGTCAATACAAGGATATGATATGAGCGATGTTGAAGTGTATTGAATGAACATGATAGATTGTTTAGTTCTTAGTCATTTGTTGAAAACAATGCTGTACAAGTACTATTCCATACACACACAGTATGCCCTTACTACCGTATCTATTTACCTATTTACCACCAGTATGCCTTTGCATGAAAAGGATTACCGTAGTACAGCCTGCACCCAAAGCCAAGCAGCCATGGCCCTTCCTCCTGCGTCACCCTTCGTCCCAAACCACCCATCCACCTCAGTCGACAGTATGCCCTCAGAATGTCATATAGCCAGCCGATCCCATGCGTATACACCACTTCACATCTTTCCAGTCCACACACAAAGCAGTCTTCCCTTCATCCACCTGGTGCCTTGCCCAAACATCCCTGCACCTGCTTCTGTCCAACTGCAAGGCATAGGTTCTGATCATTCTCCAACTACGTATCTGCAGCATGCAAGTTGAGCCATGCACAACCACCATTCCATGCCTCACTCCTCCACATGCATGCCTCCCCATCATTCTTCACACTCGTTGCCTCCAAGCCTCTCCTCAGTCTTCCCTACCAAGACACACTCACGTCCTCCCTCACCTCACCTCCCTCTCCATCGCCACTCCCTGCCACTGTGCCTGCTATCTGCCTGCGCTAATTATCATACTCAGACGATTTCCGTCTGATGTATAGAGATCTCTCAACTTGGTCAGGGCAGTCAGGTGCTGCAGCCCATCATCCGTGACTGCCGTGCCATCCAGATAAAGATGCATGAGCCCTGTCAGCCTCCCCACATGCACCATCCCAGCATTTGTTACACCATTGCACCAAGAAAGCCACAATAGTTTGAGAGAAATGAGGCCTGTCAAGTGCAGTAGACCAGCATCAGTCACCTTGGTTTTAATGAGATAGAGCTCCCTGAGACTGGTCAAGGACCCGATGCCTTCCAAGACACTGTTTGAAACGTCTGTGCTTATGAGGCTTAACTTCTCCAGCCGTGGCAGCCTGTAGAGGTGCTTGATGCTCTCTGCACTGAAGCCTGAGCAAGCGTCCAATTCAATGCCCTTCAGATACGTCATGGTGGACACATGCCCGAGCATGACATCCGAGACACAGTGGCAACTCCTCAGACTCAGATCCGTTCCTCCTGATGCTGACTCGATTTGCTGGAGGTGATGGTTGAAGAGGGCACGGATTGCAAGCGAAACAATGACTATCTGAGAGGCCGTGGAGAAAAAAAGGACACAGAGGGAAAAAGTGGCAAGGGAATGGATGGATGCACTGTGCTACAGTTCACCCAACACTCACCTTCCATGCCATCTTTTGATCACCTTCACTCTGCTTGATGTGCAGCGCAACATTCAGCTCCAGGTTTCGTATCATCTGCCCTTCCTTAAAGGCCACCAGTTCCTCCACCTCCTGCACCTCCCTCCTCCTTTCATCCTCCTCCCGTGCGAAATCCGCTGTGGTTTCTTGCTTTCTCTTTCTGCTGTTCCCTCTCAAGCATCTCGCATCCGATGCCCTACTGCTCTCAGCCAATCTCTCCGCCATAGCGTCCTCGTGTTCCGCCAATTCCCCCTTCACCACTGTCAATTCCCCCTTCACCACTGCCAATTCCCCCTTCACCACTGCCAATTCCCCCTTCACCAGTACCAACTCCCCTTTAACCACTGCCAACTCCCCCTTCACTGATGCCAGCATGTGCCGCAGCTCATCCACCTCCTCCTTGTGTGCAGCCAGCTCCTCTCTCACTGCTGCCAGCACCGCCTCTTTCATCAAGTCATTCACTGCGCTCGTCACTCCCTCAGCAGCCATAGCATCCACTCACTCCCCTCAAACGGACCTCGTTCAATGTCTGACTTTTCCCTACGTTCGACTGCCTTTTTAACTGCACATTGGCGAAATCAGGCACGTGCAGCCCGGGTAAGGCAGGGTTGCGCGTCATGAGAGAATAGAGAAACGTAAAAGGAAAAGAGGGAGAAGCGGCGTGGTAGGTGCACACACAAACGAGGTCAATTACATGGGCATGCTGAATGACACAGTGATGTGAGTAAGAGAGGAGAAGCTTGTCCACAATCATGCATCTAACAAGAGGTCAGGTGGCAGTAGAACAAAAAGGGGAAGCCAGCGGGAGAAAGTGAAGACAAGATGTTAGGACAGGCAAGAAAGGCTAGAAAACTTTGCAGCAAGGGGGAAACAAATGTGGGTGAAGGGTGGGGAGCTGCAGGGACTGCATAGGGTGTTGATGTAAAAGGGATTCGCTTTGACCGGCAAGGCATGAAGGCCAAGGCCAGCACAGTAGCAGGAGAAAACAGAGGCAGTCATAAATTTTCTAAAAGAGTGACGAAACGACGAGAAGAACCAAAGGAGACCAACAAGGGAGGCATGACCAGATAGGAGAGAGAGGTACACAAGAAAGTCCTAGGTATAGCAGTGGTAAGAAAAGGGTGGTTTCTGAAACAGCAATTGTCGGGCAGGAAAATGGGAGAGGAGAGCGAGAAAATAGTAGAAAAGTGAAGACATATGTTTTTCCTGTTTGCAACGGGACTTGCATCACACGTTGATTTAGATGCAAGCGACAATCGAACCGGCAAGAATAAGCCAGAACAGAGGCCAGGGGAAGAAAAGGAGCGTATGACGGGATGCTGCATGAGGAGTGGAGAAGCAATGACGGTGAGGTAAAGAGCCCTGTCAAATGTCATTTGATCCTCAAATGAGCGAATGATCAAATGTCATTTGATCCTGGCGTAGAATGATCAAATGTGGCCCTGCCTGCCAGGTCTTCCCCTCACCACAGCCAGCCAGGCAGGCGATGGAGAGCAGATCTAGCACATGATGAGGGGGTTTGAGAGTTTTGGACAAATAGTAGCAAATGTTCAAGAGGCTGAAAGTCGACTCGTGTCGAGCACGGTGTGACTACCGTGCAGTGCATAAACAAGGCTAGGCCAACCCACCCCCATCTAAGCGAGCTGTTTGGCTCGAGACAAGAGGGCTGGTCGAGACTCGGGTCGCAATGAGTGGCTTACGCGTAGACCAAACCAGAGTAATACGAGATGAGAGAGTCGCAGTGGTCGGGAGGCGTCACCAACGGGACAGAGTCGAACTGTTTTGGAGGTGACCTGGAGGTTCATAACTAACTAGAAAATGTGACAGTTACAGAAACCATTGCGCTTCTTTGTGGACAGAGGCTAGGGCGGTATGGTCTAGTCTAAATCATTTACAGGCTACGACATCCAATCCAAGCGTTACTTACTTCAATAAGAGCACAGGTCAGTGACAGCAATGACGCTCATGCTCATGTATTGGCTAAAGAGTTCACAATTCTTACCTTAAATTAGGGTTTGCTAATTAGTCGTGCTTCCACGGCTCACGAAATGACTCAGCAGCGGCGGTGCGGAGTCTGAAAGTGTTGCGAGGGAAGGGAGGAGAGGAGAGGTTGGCGGGGAGGCAGTACGAGTGGCAATGGGGGAGCAACACGCCAATCATGCTAGCATCGTAGAGGTGACTCGACTCCAGTCACCGTGTGTCAGGGTGGGGAGATGCACTCTTATGATACACGTCTGACCGTCACACTGGTTGGCATGCGCTTGTTGATGGGAAAATGGACTTACATGCGCAGCTTCATTGGGACTGAAAGCCACATGCACTAGGTAGAGTAGAGTCAGCCTTCAACTCGAGTGTTGACTCGACTCAGGGCCGACTCTACCGGAAATCCGAGCCTCAAGTCGGGCAAGGTCGGCAATTGACTCAACTCGAGCTCGAGTTGTGTCGAGTCGCCCTGAGCACATGTATGGACTGCCAGCCACAGACTGGCTAGGTTAGTCATAAGCTATGTCAGTCACAAGCCACGTCAATCACAAGCCACGTCAATCACAAGCCACGTCAATCACAAGCCACGTCAGTGAAGTTAGGTCAGTGAAGTTAGGTCAGCGAAGTGAGGTCAGTCAAGTTAGGTCAGTCAAGTTAGGTCAGTCAAGCTAGGTCAGTCATGGCAAGATCAGTCACAGGCTGGGTCACTCACCGCCTAGGTTGGTCACCAAGCTGAGGTGGGTCACAGGTAAGTCGGCCAGAGTCTGGGTGAGTGACAGCGTGAGTGTCTAAAGCAGGGCGAGGAAACACAGCACGGGAAGGGGCTGGTCAACAATGAGATCCTACGTCAAAAGCTATGTCAGTCTGACCTGGGTCAATCAGAGCCTAGATTATTCAGAGCCTAGGTCAATCAGAGCCTGGTCAATCCGAGCGTAGGTATATCAGAGCCTAGGTCAATCAGAGCCTGGTCAATTCGAGCCTATGTCAACAGAGCCTATGTCAATCAGAGCCTATGTCAATCAGAGCCTATGTCAATCAGAGCCTATGTCAATCAGAGCCTATGTCAATCAGAGCCTATGTCAATCAGAGCCTATGTCAATCAGAGCCTATGTCAATCAGAGCCTAGGTCAATCAGAGCCTATGTCAATCAGAGCCTAGGTCAATCAGAGCCTAGGTCAGTGACACAGCATGGTGAATGAGCCTAGATGAAACAATAGCAGCACGGGATGGTCACAACCTGAGTTGGGTCACAGGCTTGGACGGTCATTACCTGGGTGAGTGACAGCGTGACTCCTCCATGAACCAGGGCGAGGACACACAGCACGAGAAGGGGCCAGGGGAACAACGCCAGGGGGGGCAAGAATGCGCCAAGGGGCTCTGCTATTCTTGGCGATGTGCGGAATTTGTAAGCGACTGTGTAACTTAAAGCTGCAGCTTACCGGGCTCTGGCACAACTACGAGCACCATGATTCATAGGATGTGAGCCTCAAGCTTGCACAGGATGGCAGCGTGAGCCAGGGTGTCTGAACCAGGGCGATTGAACACATCATGGGAAGGGGCCGGGCAACAATGAGAGCTTACGTCAAAACTATGTCATTCCGAGCCTAGGTGAATCAGAGCCTAGGTCAATCAGAGCCTAGGTCAATCAGAGCCTAGGTCAATCAGAGCCTAGGTGAGTGGCAGCATGGTGAATGAGCCGAGCAGAATAACACCAGCACAGGAAGGGACCAGGCCAGCGGTGCATCGAGGTGCAACAACGTGTTTTGGCGTTGTGCTAAAGCCGTAAGGTCATTTAGTATGTAACCAAGTTACAAATCGCGCCCTGATACATGTCACGAGCACCATGGGTCGTGCGCTTTGAGCCTTGCAATGCGGAAAGCTGATGCTGGGAAGAGCGATGCTTATGTAATGCAAGGTTCAAAAATACGGTAAATGTAAATTACAGCTCGTAAATTACGGTCATAATTTACGGTGGTTTTGGCAAAAATACGGTCGTTTTTTTAATGGACTTGTTTTGCGGCATTGTTTTTTTTCCCGAAAACTTCAATGGTTTAGCAATGTTAGCAATGTCGAAAAATTTGCAGGGTTGAACCGTTTTTTACCGTAATTTACGATCGTAACGTACGATACAGTAATTTACAGTAAAATTTCAAAAATACGGTCGTATTTTTTTACCTTGATGTAATGACTGAAGAATTAAAATGCTTACCATTTTTGTAATTCTGTTGTGTTTCCTCAGATCGCGGAGCGGCTAAGCAGCGGCGGCGCGAAGTCAGTCGCTTTGCAGCACCATGCTGATGGCGAGGCTTGGCGATTCTGAAAGTGGTGCATGGGAAGGGAGTCAATGGAATAAGCCGGACAGGGCATGTACTTAATGCGAGTGATACTGGCCACACGTTGGTAGCCTAAGAAGACAAACCAAAACGAGGAGTATTACTCGCCTCACTCGCTGGCCGTGACTAGGAGCTCGGTAGACAAAATGCGACCTAGCACAGCTCTAGCAGAAGAATAAATAGTGGTTCCAGAAATGGCTGCATGGATGTAACAACGGTGGGGATAGAAAACAGACACAGATGTGTTATGATGGGACTTGCAGCAAAAGGCCACACAGCCATTGTTTTCTCGGCAATGTATTACTAAGTGAACACCCGGTTGGAGCCAGATTGCCCGAATAAGAGCATGCATCCGTGGCGCCTCCAGAGTACTGCATACAAAGCCTTTTGCGCTTAGCTCTGGGAACGTGGATTGGAGACGGTTTGGAGGCAAAGAACAAGAGAAATAGAGGAAAGGTCGATTTCTCCATGCTCCAAATGGCTCGAAACCACCAGCGAATGGAGGGAAATGATGATGAGGGTAGTGCAACCGGAAATGAATGGAATGATAGGACGAGCCTTACCTCAGAAATGTTCTAGGGTTTCGCAGATTAAATCGTCGTGAAGATATGAAAGGCAAGGCGCCTATTAGGAGCAACGGGTTCCAGAAACGCCAAACTATCTGAGATGCCGCGCCAATCTCACGCGAGATATTAAAATGGCTTCAAAACGAGCGGATAAGATTGCGTGAGGAGGGAGTGGAAGAAGACTAGCCTTATGACTCGTACTAACTGCTACGCAGTTCGAAATCTCGTTATGCGCGATAGACGTAGTATTGCCGAGCTAAGATGGCAAACAAGAGTGCCAATAATAAGATGGCTATGGGTGCAGTCCAGTGACTTCCACCACAGTGATGTTGAATGGTTTGGCTGGTGGCTCGTGCTGCGTTTCAAATTGGTCATGCTGGGTATCCAGAATTCGCTTCATTGAGCGATGAATGTGCGAAGTGTGAATAACCGGCTCCGTTCAGATGTCGTCACTTGAGCGCAAGTACGCTTTGGAGTGCGCATACGCGAGCGAATCCGTAACGAGGGAGGAAGGAAGGCGTCGTACCTTGCACAAAGCACATGCTGGGTGACACATTGACTTTCAATTTGAGTATCGAATCACAAGGTCCGGTGGCACTGCTCGTTTCGCGAATAGACGGGGGAGTGCAAACCGAACTTGTCAGTGTCACTCAAAACATCCCTGCTAGGGTTTCACATCTAATTACATCCTCACGACCAATATCCCCCTGTTCGCTCGGGGTTGGACAGCAATAACCGTTTTTGCGAAGACCCCAAGCAACACCAACAGTCTTCCCACACCCAAGATCGAGAAAGATTCAGGGATAGCTCTGCTGCTTCTCGACACTTCACCTGTTTTTCCTGCTTGCGTTCTGAGAATCAGCGACAGCCATTGGGACTAATGACAAGCCCTAGTCTGCTGCGATTCGTCGTACCAGCTTGTAGTTTGTCGGATAGAGAGCCCCTGTGGTTGCAAAGGCTCATGTTGGACGCGACTCGGCTGCTCGTGTCGTTAGACATCCGGAGTGCTTTTTAACTGTCCATGCAGCTCCGTTTCTGGGAAACTTGGCGCGAGAGGAAGTTACTGAGAGAGACATGAGGAGTCAGGACAACCGAGTCGATATTGAACGAGCCCGACTCGAAAACCAGGAGAGGACGCGGGTAGTTAGCCCCGTCGTTTCAATCAACCACCGCAAACGGGAATATTGTTGCATAAATTGCTTTATGTCGGCAGATCGAGTCGCTCGAGAGACATTTCAATCCCTTAGTATTGCCCCCCGACTCGCTGTTGTTCTGCGACGATTGACATGTCCCGCAAGCTGCATGATCCGTGCTATCATCATGATGGTCCGTGCTACGGTCGCTCGCACTAACAATGACAGCGGCATTAGGAACGACGACGTGCGAGTGACGGTTGCGATGCGCTTTCCATCGCCTGATTCGCGATGCCTCGCCTCCTCCAATGATCGCCGCGTCGCCTCCAGAAGCTCCTTCTTCACGCCACACATCCAACGAGTCGCGAATCTCTCTCTTAGCCACCTCCACTCCATCGCCTTGCAGGTGTGCACGCCTCTTCCTCCGCCTATAAAGCCGGCGCCATGTGCAGCCATGCAATCATCAGTTCCAATCCGCCTCTCTTCTCAGTCTCCTCCTCAAGAACCCGTTTGCAGCAGCCTTCCAGCTCTCTCCAGCTGCTTTGCAAGCCCGATTCCGAGCCAACTCAAAAGCCACATCTGTGCGTTACCTCATGGCGACGGCTGGGATGCGCGTGCTGGTGCTGGCAGCTCTGGCGGTGGGGCTGCTGGCGGTGGCAGTGAGTGGAGCGCGGGACGCCATGAAGGTAGCCAGAGGCCTGGTCCCAACAGACGGCGGCGCGAATGGCGGGGCAGGGGCTGCGGGGCAGCAGAGGAAGGGCGCGCGCAGGGGGACGCCGGACTACAAGGGCGGCGGGGCAGCAAAGACCCTGAGTCTGCTGCTGCGCGGTCTCCTTGGGGTAGCCGCCTTCGTCCGCGTGTGCCTCTCACCTCACAGCAGCTGCACGACTGGTATGGTCGCCGTCAGGGTCGCGCTTCTGGAGCTCGAGGCTCTGCCGCTAGAGGTACTTCTGCTGACGTCACTGGAGCTGGGAGTGGTGCTGGTCCCGGAGGTGCTCGTACTGGAGGTACTGGAGCTGCTGGGGCTGGAGGTGCTGCTGATCCTGGGGGTGCTGCTGCTGGAGACACGGAGGCTGGAGACCCTGGGCTTGGAGGTGCCGGTTCTGGGGGTGCTGCTGAGGGTACTGGAGCTGCTGAGGGTGCTGGAGCTGCTGGAGGTACGGGAGCTGCTGCGGGTGCTGGAGCTGCTGAGGGTGCTGGAGCTGCTGAGGGTGCTAGAGCTGCTGGAGGTACTGGAGCTGCTGAGGGTGCTGGAGCTGCTGGTACTGGTGGCACTGCACAGCCGCGCATGTTCTTTGCTCCCCCGTCTCTGTCGTCTCTGCCACCGCCTGACTCCGTACTTCGCCAGGTTCTTAGCCTCCCGTCGTCTACTGGTCTTCCGTTACAGCCTGGCTCACCTCTGCCTGCTCCTCCTCCTTACACTGAGCAGACAGGGGGCCTTGCTGTGCGTCGTGAGCCTGCGTCGCGTCCTGTCTCACCTGTCCGTTCTAGTCGTTCCTGTGCTCGTGTTCCTCGTCAGCGTCAGCCGGCTGTCCCCGGCGCTTCCCTTGTAGTCCGTCGTCCTTCCTCTCCTCCGCAGCGTGTTCCTCTGCCGACTCCTCCTGCGTCTTCTCTGCCTACCGTTCTGGACCCTGAGTCTGACCGGTTTCGTGCTGAGCACCCTACTGTCACGCGTCTGCTAGCCACTGTTGTCACTGACCCGTCGTTTGAGTCTTCTACTGCGTCTGCCTTAGTCGCTGAGCTTGTTGACTTTGCTGCTGCCTGTCGTCTAGACTACGCTGCTAGTCTTGTTGCTGAGTCTGAGTCTGTCTGTCCTCCGTCCGTCGGGGGTGAGTGTGCTCTTGGCACGGACGTCCTTGAGGACAGGCACGAGGACCTTGAGTGTTTTGCAGCCGCTGCGCCTCATCTTGTGTCCATGCTGCTTGCCCCTGAGGGAGACCCGGATGCACCAGACATCCCGACCCCGCGCTCTTACGCTGAGGCGATCGCGGGTGAGTACTCCTCTCAGTGGCAGACAGCCATGGATGCAGAGATGGCATCCTGGAAGTCCACAGGCACCTACGTCGACGAGGTTCCCCCTCCTGGGGCGAACATCGTCAGTGGCATGTGGATTTTCAGGGTGAATCGGCCGCCAGGTTCTCCGCCTGTCTTCAAGGCTCGTTACGTTGCTCGAGGTTTCAGTCAGCGAGAGGGGGTTGACTTCTTCCAGACCTTCTCCCCCACCCCGAAGATGACCACTCTTTGGGTGCTGCTGCACGTTGCCGCCCAGCGTGACTACGAGCTCCACTCTCTTGACTTCAGCACAACTTTCTTACAAGGCAGCCTGCACGAGGAGATCTGGCTACGCTGCCCACCTGGCTTCACTGGGTCGTTCCCTCCTGGTACCCAGTGGAGCCTCCGGCGGCCGGTCTACGGTCTCTGCCAGGCGCCGCGTGAGTGGCACGACACACTGAGGACGACACTTGCGGCTCTTGGGTTTTCTCCGTCGACTGCTGACCCGTCGCTGTTTCTGCGCACCGACACTTCACTGCCGCCGTTCTACATCCTCGTGTACGTCGACGACTTGGTCTTTGCCACTGCTGACACTGAGGCTCTCGCCCTGGTGAAGTCGGAGCTGCAAAAGAGACACACATGCACAGACCTGGGTGAGCTGACAAGCTATCTTGGCTTGCGGATCACCCGGGACAGAGCACGCCGCACCATCACACTGACTCAGTCACACATGGTGCAGCAGGTCCTTCAGCGCTTCGGCTTCACCTGGTCCTCGGCACAGCCCACTCCTCTGGCTACAGGTCACTTGCTCTCAGCTCTACCTTCGGACGAGTCCGTAGAGCCGAGTGGTCCTTACCCAGAGCTAGTGGGCTGCCTCATGTACCTGATGACCTGCACTCGTCCTGACCTTGCGTGCCCTCTTGGCCTTCTGGCTCGCTACGTGGCTCCTGGTCGGCACCGAAAGGTGCACATGGATGCTGCTAAGAGGGTACTACGCTACTTGTGCAGTACATCGGGCATGGGGCTCGTGCTTGCAGGACGGATTGACGTTGTCCTCACTGGGCACTCAGACGCTTCTTGGTTGACGACCAGGCTACGCAGCGGTCGTCACAGGGTTACACCTTCAGCCTTGGCTCTGGTTCGGTTTCTTGGCGTTCTACATGCTCGTCTTCAGTTCTCAGCTCCAGT